TTTATGGTCCAGTTCTCACTTCCATATCACTACTGGGAAAACCATAGCTTTAACTATACGGACCTTTGTTGGCAAGGTGATGTCTCTGCTTTTTTAGGATTATAACTAAGTTGGTTTCCCTGAAGACCGAAGGCCATTGTGAATAGGAAAATACTATAAATACCATTCATTTATCTTGGTGTTGTCTACACTGACTGACAGCAGCTCTCTGTGCTGTCATGCTGGAGTCTTAGGCCTTCTTGCAAATGACAGGGATTGTACCTGGAACCTTTCGCACACAAAACTTGTGCTCTGCTGTTGAGCTACGGCCCATTCCCTCATGCCTGAGTGGGGCTTTGAACTTGGGAATTCCCAGTCCTAGCACTTCTATACTGTCTAGGTTAGTATAAACACTTAGTATAACCACTTCAAAGGAAGTCTCTAATGAAAAATTGCTGGACTAGAGTTTATCAGTAACCTTTAATTATATTTGTTTAGCCCTGGCTCACGATAATTGCTTCCATCCATTTCAGATGTTAAATTAACATTAAAAAGCTATGAAAAATTATATTACAGATGAATGCTGTTGTAAATAGACACTGTGTTTTACTTATATACACTTTTACATTGAATATCACAAACTGTAGCTCTTGCATTTCATAGACACATGGCTTCATGGCTTACAGTCCGTCCCCCCACTATGTCTATTTAACTGCCTACTAAGGAAAACCTTTGGTCATCTGATAAAGACTCTGATCTGAAAAAACAGATACCACAATAAATTTGTTAATGCCACAAGACTTGTTTTTGCTGCAGCAGACTAGGGATTCCTCCAAGGCTTGGTCCCTGAGGTCTACTTAGTATTTCGTAGACTCTAGTTTGCTGTAAAACTTGGTATATACCAATACTTGACATTGGCATTGGCATTGGCTATGTGGTTAAAGTGAAATAAAAACGTGAGTTCCTAGGTTCAGTTTCAGCTAATGGTAAGTAAGGTCTCTGTTATAATATATGGAAGGGAGACTACGGCCGGATCTACACTGATCTGGAAAACGCTATTAAAAAACACTATTTAAAAATATAGCTTCCAGTGCAATTTCCCATTGGCCACAGATCGCTGCTCTACAGCACTCTGGTGTCACATTTTTATAACACATTTTAATGTTATAATTCACCAGTGTAGATTAATCCTACAATCTAGGGTAAAAAAAATCTGCCTCTCCTCCTTATTGCTCCGTATACTTGAACTGCTTCCCAGAACACCTGTGCAATACTATGTTTCTTACTTCCGTCCAGTCGTATTTCAGAACCCATCTTTTCTATGATGTCTTTTCCTTACTCCTCTAGTTCTCATGCCCAACATTTATAAGCCAATATAGGGCTTGTATCCAACAGAGGCTTTGCATTAGAAGCGCTTCCACTTCTGCACCTGATTGTTGCTGTCCCCAGCTACTCGTGCTCCCTGAAACCTATTCCTAAATATTTGGTACATATGACACGGAGGACAGCGACAGCAAATGGAAAAAGGATTGGTAAAAGTGTTGTGTTAGCAGAAGTGCTAGTACAAAGCCCTCATTGGATGCCACACTGTGCAAATAAGTAGGCTGGAGTGAATTTATAAGAAATATGAACTTAACCAACACACTCCATACTATTTATTTGATGCAGAGCATGTTTTGTAACTTGGGGTGAAAGGAGTACAATTTACTTTCAGTCAGGGAGAGGGGAAAACCTTTCCCTAAAGGTGTGGAGGATGACAGCATGTGTGAGGCAATGTATTGTTACTAAGGCTGCATGCCACCCTCAATCTCTGCAACAGGGTTGTGTTTCCACTGGGAAATTAAGGCACAGCACAGCAATGTTAGAAATTGAGATATGAAAGCTAGGAGCTAAATGGCACTTTAAAGCTAGGTTATGGGCAGAACAACGGAATGTCTAGATACACTTTCTTTACAACAAGAATACAAAGCTGAAAATGAATGAACTGCAGCTAAAATCTTGTATTCATTTTTCACATAGACTAGTCCTCATCTGAAGCCTGCAAAAACAAAGCCATGCTTCCCCTGCCTGCCCCCCTAATATTCTTAAGAGGGTCTCTTCTCCAGTTTTCAGAGAGTGGCTTTGAGTGGGGAGGCAGGAAAAGATCCTCCATTGCTTCCACTCTGCAGTTTTAATCTGAAATCATAGGCACAGTACTGAGCCCAGAGCTCAGAAACTTCTCTCGGTAGTGAAATTCCTTGTCTCAAAACATGCCTAGAACAATGGGAGTTTCGAACGCTGCAGCATAGACTAGTGCCATTAAGAAATACGGTTTATTTTAAAGATATTTACACCTAAAGCCTTCAACAGATGGGACACAGAATATTGCACCCCAAGAGTGTCCCTCATTGCTCCTCTCATAGCTTCAGTGAGTTTGGGTCCAAAGCAAAAGGCAGTCATGGCCTCCAGTCTCTCGTCAGAACCTCCTCCTCCAGCCAGCAGCACATGAAATTCTTTCTACTTCTTCCTTGTTCCCAGAACACCTTGTTCCCAGAACAAAGCGCAACACCTCCCCTTCACTTTCTCCGCTCCCCTTCTTGAGACCTGTTTCCAAAAAGGGCACATTTTCCCTGTGTGACATCACGCCTCCTGCAGCCTCTTCCAACTGTGCTATAAGTAACAGACAGCTGAGGTGGAAGGACAGCAGCTGGGTGGTTCTTTAACGGCCCGCTGCTTAGTTCTTCTTGTTTTCTTAATGTCATCGCAAACAACAATCTCCTGAACAGGAGAACTGGTTCGGCCTGTATTTTGAATCTAGTTTCTGGCACTGTTCCTTCATACTCCAAAAATCAGCTAAATTCTACCCCTTTACTGATTTCTAACATTCACTAACTCTAGCAGTTCTGGGTGTCCTTGCACCCTCAAACTCTGGTATCCCAGATCTGTAACAGTAAGTAAGACCTGAACACATAGCACTCTTTCCTGTGCTTTCCAGCCACTGGGATTCAAAAGCGTACTAAAAGCTGAGCACAGCCATGGCAAATAATGATTGTCTAACCTACCTCACAGGACTTTTCAGCATATAAAATGGGGTGTGGGAGAAACATGTCTGTCACCTTGAATTCCTTGGAAGAAATGTAAATATAAATGTGGTGATTTTAAGCAGATACATATTTAATGAATTTCTGCTTGGCTTATCCACAGAAAGGAAATGCAATAAATATCCGGACAATACTGTCTTCGCCGCTGTTTTTCTAGAAAAAGAGGTGCAGGAACTCATCACGAATGCCTCCCTTGCTCTCTTATAATGGAGTCCGGTTGAGAGGTGCTGGAACTGAGTTCTGGTGAGTTCCAGATGAAAAAAAACTATGACTGTATTCATTAAAAAAAAAAACTTTACAAATGTGCTACATAAATCCTAAGTTCAACTTTCTTATACAGTACATGACTATGAGAGTGCATTGTCCCAGAAGCGTATAACAAAGGGCTGACAGAATCGTGGCTGAGCATGCTAACAAATCCCTGGCTGCACTAGATGGGCCGTTATCTCGCCTCTGCGATGAATGTACAGTGGTACCTCGGGTTAAGTACTTAATTCGTTCCGGAGGTCCGTTCTTAACCTGAAACTGTTCTTAACCTGAAGCACCGCTTTAGCTAATGGGGCCTCCTGCTGCCGCCGCGCCACTGGAGCACGATTTCTGTTCTCATTCTGAAGCAAAGTTCTTAACCTGAAGTATTATTTCTGGGTTAGTGGAGTCTGTAACCTGAAGCGTATGTAACCCGAGGTACCACTGTACTTTGGCACACTATTTTTGTTATGTACTGAAGTTTTCAACCAGGGCCATCAGGGGGATACTGTAGATAGTTTTCACTCAGGTCCACATATGCAAATAAGGGATTGAAAGTGACATTCAGTGATTGGATAGTTACAGAAAGTGTTACAGTTGTGTTCTAGTGGAGCTCTATATAACCAGGTTGGCTGAACCCTTCAGTCCAGTTCTGTTCTGGCCTGTGAATTAATAAGAGCTGTGTCATCGGATATGTTCACCCACAACAATTTTCTTCTAGGTTTGGGGAATAATTCCATTCTATTGAGAACCATGGCTTTAAAGCCCAATATATTAGACTGGCACAACGTCTTTTCTTGTTTATCACAGTTTTAGCTAATAACATAAGCGTGTTTCCGTCCAACTGCACATTTTCCGGTTCTGATTCATTAAAGGTACCCTTGCCCATACGGGCCAGTCTTGACAGACTCTAGGGTTGTGCGCCCCTCTCACTCTATAGGCCGGGGGCCAGCGCTGTCCGGAGACACTTCCGGGTCACGTGGCCAGCGTGACAAAGCTGCATCTGGCGAGCCAGCGCAGCACACGGAAACGCCGTTTACCTTCCCGCCAGTAAGCGGTCCCTATTTATCTACTTGCAACCGGGGGTGCTTTCGAACTGCTAGGTTGGCAGGCGCTGGGACCAAACAACGGGAGCGCACCCCGCCGCGGGGATTCGAACCGCCGACCTTTCGATCGGCAAGCCCTAGGCACTGAGGCTTTTACCCACAGCGCCACCCGCGTCCCTATTCTGATCCATTAATTACATTTAAATAGAGATTGTCACGTGATAAGCGCTCAGGTGGCCTCTTGCTTAGCGCGCCTAGAGAGCTGCGTCGGCAGTTCTGATTGGCCAGACGCCTGGGACTAAATAACGCGCCAAACGCGCCCAAAGCCTGTTTACTGCGCATTTAACCGCCAGCGACAGAACCCGCCTCTTTCCATCCCACAGCCAATCAGCACCAAGCACAATTATTCACATGAGGACAACCGGGGGCGGGCCTTGGTGGGATGCCGGCGGCCCACCCACCCTGGGAGATTTTCGAATTCTGTTGGCCGGAGACGGCCAAGCGCCAGCCAATGGCTAAGCTCCGCTACGGCTAAGACCCACCCAGCTGCTCCCTTTTCCCCGCCGCCCGCCTTTGAAGTGAGGGAGCTCGGCGCTTTCCCCGCACGCCATTGGCCGCGGCAGCCCGCCACTCTCCTGACGTCCGCGCTCGACTTGGTGATTGGTTCCGCCCAGGCGCGAAATGTAACGCGGGAAAGTCTTAGATTCGGTGGCGGCGGCGGCGGTCAGGGTTGCGGCCGCTGCTGGGTGACAAGCCGCGTGTGGGAAGAGGCCGCGGCTGCTTCGGGGTTGGCGGCGTCCCTGAGGGGGAAAAGCTCTGCCTGCTTTCCGGCCATGCGCCCCTGAGGCGTCCCCTGAGGGCACCGAAGAAGAGCCGAGGGCGGCGGCGGCGGAGCACAGCGTGCGAGAGGGCGACTCCCGGCGCAGGATGTCGGAGCGGCCGGGCCTCCCCGCGCCCGTCCTCCTGTGCCCGGGCGACTCCCCGAAGCGCGTCCTGGTCTCGGTCATCAAGACCACCCCCGTCAAGCCGCCCCGCGGAGCCGACGGCCGCGCGCCCCCGCCGCCGCCCATCCCCACCAGCCCGGGCTTCAGCGACTTCATGGTCTACCCGTGGCGCTGGGGGGAGAACGCGCACAACGTCACCCTCAGCCCCCCGCCGGCCACGCCGCAGCCTCTCCGCGATGGCGGAGGAGGAGGGAGGAGGAGGAGCAGGCGGCGGCGGCGTCCGTGGAGCCGCGGGGCGCTCGGGCGGAGAGGACGAGGAGGCGGGCAGCCCGGACAGCGGCATCGGGGGCGGCGGGCACTTGAGGGTGAGTGCGGCGCCGAAGGGGTTAAGAGCCCCTGGAGGGGGCGGGGCAGGGAAAGGCGCGCGCGGCGGCGGTTGAGGGGAAAGGGATCCTTTTTTTAAAGGGTTCTGGCCAACGTCCGGCCGGCCCCGCCCCCTCGGGTGCTCTTTTTTCGGTGTGTATTTGAGTGCAGTTAAGTCACTTCCGCGAGTGATTCACGCTCTGGGTGACGACACCTCCGCGCGCCAAAAGCGGGCTTGTGGTGTGTGTGTGTTTTTTTTGGTGTGTATGTATGGAGAGGTTTCCTTCCCCCCCCCCCGTGCGCGCGCCGCCGCTTTTTCCCGCGTGGTAGCGCGCGCTCACGCTCGAAATTCGCGGCTCTTGCTCCCTTTGGCACCTGCGGTGCTCAAGAGGGCGCGCGCGCGCTCTCTGCGCCCTTTAAATAACAACGACGGTAGCAACCTCGCCTCCTTATGTCCCCCCCCCTTTTTTCAATTTTTTTAAAATTGATTTTCACAGCGTTATAAACAAACACATCAAACAAACAAACATAAATCATAACCTTATTAAAAATTACTCTTATTAACATTATTGAGTGAATTCCTCGCTTCCCCTTGGTTGAATTTCATTGCATGTCAACGGTTTTCCAAATCATAGTTCTTAAAATAATTTAGCTTAAACATTAACATCCTTAGATCTTCACATTATGAAATTAAACCTATTAATTCATCACAACTTAAAATCCTAAGCCAATTAAGTATCTGCAAGCTGTTTTCAGTTAGTTTAACATGTTTAACTAAGTAATCATTAAATTTGATCCAAACTTCCTGATACTACTCCTCCTTCTGGTTGCGGACTCTTCCGATTAGGTCGGCTAGCTCCGAAAAATCCATCATCTTCATCTGCCATTCTTCTTCTTCGCCTCCTTATGTCCAGTCGATACAACTCCTAAATAAATGGCAATCTTCTGCTTCCTGAATATTTGGCGTACACGTTTTGTTTCTTTTTACATTTTACATTTATAACCCACCTGAATTGGGGTTTGAACCTGGACCTCCCATGTTCCAGCCTGAGGCTCACTTCTTTCTCCTTTGGCGATCCGAATAATAATAATAATAATAATAATAATAATAATAATTTGTTATTTGTACCCTGCCCATCTAGCTGGGCTTCCCCAGCCACTCTGGGCAGCTTCCAAAAGTGTGGTAGTTGTTTTTCTCTTTGACATCTGGTGGGAGGGCATTCCACAGGGCAGGTGCCCTCTGCCTGGTTCCCTGTAGCTTTGCTTCTCACAGCGAGGGAACCGCTAGAAGGCCCTCGGCACTGGACCTCAGCGTCCTGGTAGAACGATGGGGGTGGAGACGCTCCTTCAAGTATACTGGGCCGAGGCCATTTAGGGCTTTAAAGGTCAACACCAACACTTTGAATTGTGCTCGGAAACGTACTGGGAGCCAATGTAGGTCTCGGCGGCCATCACCAGTCTAGCTGCCGCATTCTTCCATTAACACAGTCTTAACAATGAGTCCATAAGTGATTGTGGAGGCCAATTTTGGATCCACACGTCCTTCCACAGTGGGGACATTGGTTTCCAGGCGGAAGTTGAGGGTTTGCCAAACGTGCCTTCCTCTTAGCATGTTTTGATCGTCTTCAAAGCTCATGACACCTTTGGTCAAGGCTGTTCTCCAACTGGAGCGCTCGCAGGCCAGTGTTTCCCAGTTGTTGGTGTTTATACTACATTTTTATTAGATTTGTCTTGAGACTTTAAACCTCTTTTGTTGACCACCAGCATTACGCTTTCCATTTTAAAGTTCAGAATAGAGTACTGTAGTTGCTTTAGAAGACAATAGTCAGGCATTTGCACAACATGACCAGTCCATCGAAGTTGGTGCTGAAGAATCATTGCTTCAACACTGTTGATCTTTGCTTCTTCCAGTACGCTGGAATTAGTTCGCCTGTCTTCCCAAGTAATGTGTAAAATTACACCACACCAGCTTGATAGAGAACACGTTTCCTGAATAAGTGGCACACACATACCCCTGGATAGTGGTTGCGAACTCTGCCACAATTTAACACTGTTCTTTGTTCTTTTTCTTTTGAGACTAGCAGAAAGGCAGGGATAAGGGAGCCACATGCTGACCTAGGCGCGAGCATCTTCACAATGCCAGTCCCTCCAAGTGCCCCTGTGTTGGAGGGTATGGAGATATGTGATCCCCGAACTAAGGAGATACAATTCAATCTGTTTATTTCAGCTGTAGGCCAGCATTTAACTAAGGGGATAAGTAATACAACCTTTAGAAGAAATCTAAAGGCAGCCCTGTATAGGGAAGTTTTTAAAAGTTTAATGTTTTATTTAGTTTTTATTTATGTTGGAAGCCACCCAGAGTGGCTGAGCCAACCCTGTCAGATGGTCGTGGTATAAATAAAAAAATTATCGGCAGCATTATAGAATATAGATATTCTATATATAGAATAGTGGGATGCGGGTGGCGCTGTGGGTTAAAGCCTCAGTGCCTAGGACTTGCCGATCGAAAGGTCGGCGGTTCGAATCCCCGCGGCGGGGTGCGCTCCCGTCGTTCGGTCCCAGCGCCTGCCAACCTAGCAGTTCGAAAGCACCTTCGGGTGCAAGTAGATAAATAGGGACCGCTTACCAGCGGGAAGGTAAACAGCGTTCCGTGTGCTGCACTGGCTCGCCAGAGCAGCGATGTCACGCTGGCCACGTGACCCGGAAGTGTCTGCGGACAGCGCTGGCTCCCGGCCTATAGAGTGAGATGAGCGCACAACCCTAGAGTCTGGCAAGACTGGCCCGAACGGGCAGGGGTACCTTTACCTTTACCTTTTATATATAGAATATAGATACAATTAGATATAATTAGATATAATGTACCTATTAAATGTATTGATCGCACATTCAGCAAACAGGTGCAGACAAAAATGCCAGTGTTTTGGGCTCTAGCAGGTTGTGACGGATGAATACCGTAGATTTGTGCCAGGAAACGCCTGCAAGAGCTCCACTGGCCTACGAGCTGAGGTCTAATGCCCCACCACGTTTTATATAGTAGTTCTTGGGAAGCATTTGATAATGGCCTGTTTATTTACCAGGATGGGACTAGAAGAGGTCGACCAAGAGCAGACACCGTCCGAGATCTAATAAGCGAGGGAGAGCACTCTTCAAGCAGGATTCGTTGTAGTGTTTGCAACAGGGTATTCCCACGAGAAAAGTCCTTACAGGCCCACAAAAGAACTCACACTGGTAAGTGGAACAAGTCAAGAAGGAAAAATCAAGCATGGATATTCTGTCCATGGTAGTGGATGAGACTCTTAATCTAAAGGATGTGGGTTCGAGCCCCACAATGGGCAAAAGATTCCTGCACTGCGAGGGGTTGTGATAGTCTTTTAATTACATTTATACTAGGCCTAGGTCTTGCTTCCAAGTGAACAAACACAAGATGATGACCTGTCATTTTGAGGTGGGAAGTAGGTGGTTGGTTTGAATCTTCTTCTTTTTTTCTCTTTCCTTAAACTCCTAAGTTGGTCACAAGGATTCTGCTTCTTCAAGTTTATCCAGGCAGAAGGTGACAACAAGACACTCTGAAGCTTTTGACACTTGCTTTGGAATTATGGCCACTAGCCAGCTAAGATTTGGGAGTGAACCTAAGGCAGTTCAGGTGCCCAATACAAAGGCTTGCTAGGTTCAACCCAGCAGAGCAAAAGTGAAGGAGGAATGTTTGTGCATTCTGCAGTTTCTCATTCCTCCCCTGGCATGCCCCCAACAAACCCCGTATTGGGCCTACAGCATCAAAGCTCTGACATATGTTGGACTAACACACTTGAGATTTCAGGGGTGATGCATAAGGGAAATCCAATAGCAGAACTCCCTGCTGTGTCAGATCTCTGGCACCCTCCAAAGGGCTATAGCAGGGGTCAGCAAACTTTTTCCACGGGGGGCCGGTCCACTGTCCCTCAGACCTTGTGGGGGGCTGGACTATATTTTGAAGGGGGGGAAATGAACGAATTCCTATGCCCCACAAATAACCCAGAGATGCATGTTAATTAAAAGGGCCCATTCTACTCATGTAAAAGCACGCTGATTACCGGACCATCCGTGGGCCGGATTTAGAAGGCGATTGGGCCTGATCCAGCCCCCAGGCCTTCGTTTGCCTACCCATGGGCTATAGGATTGTCCTTTCAATGGGAGAACTTTAAACCAATGGGACTTCAAAGAATCTTAACTTTGAATAATGCCCATTCTGTTAAATTGTTTGAATGAGGAAATATAGGGTGCATGGGCATAGCCAGCCCAGGGGGTGGCAAGAAAGGGCAGCTGCTCCCCAGCAAAAATAAAATAGCAAACTGAGGTTCTGCTCCCCCCCCCCCCCCGCGCAAACAAATATCCTGCCTACGCCCATGATAGGATGTACCTTTTGCAGTAACCTGGAAGCAGAGACTGTATATCAGAGAGATTAATTAATGGTGTGTAGTCAAGTAGCATGCCAGCTAGAGCATCAGCACTTGGTCCATTCTTAATTTTATGTACATCTTTGTTGTTGTCCCTTAATTGTATTTCAAAGCAACTAAAAACATTTTAAAATTTGACAGCTTTACAATACTAACAAAAAGAACACACTTTTCAGAATGAGTTTTCAGTGCTTTTATTTCTACAAATACCCTTTTCAACCCCGTGATTGTTTTTTCCCCCAGGTGAAAGGCCTTATTTGTGTGACTACCCAGAGTGTGGGAAAGCTTTTGTTCAGAGTGGGCAACTTAAAACGCACCAACGTCTCCATACAGGGGAAAAACCTTTTGTGTGCGCTGAAAATGGTGAGCCAAGATAGAATTAACCTTTGTTCAAATAAACTGCCGTGAATACAATGGGAATAAGACGTGCCTGCTTCTAATATGTATTATACGAGAGGGAAGGAAGATTATGTGTACTAGTAGTTTGAAAAAATAACGGTATTAACAGTAAAATAAAGTGCTTTAAAAATCCATTGAAATCTATGGGAGGGTGTTCAACTAATATTTAATTCCTCAGCTAAAACTGGTGATACTGAGTGCTTTGCCTGGAATGTGTGAAAAGAAAGCATTTTTGAAAGAATGCATCATGTAGTGAAGCACTAGGACTGGGCGTGGGGGGTTGGGATCGCTGAAAGCTGAAGCTGTGTGCTTGAATACGGAGGAGGGGAGTATTTTGTGTAGGCCCCTTGCTTCCTTAGAAGGAGGGACCTATGGGGATTATGTAGCTTGAAGGGGGGGAGCCATTTCATGGCCAGTTAGCATGTGTGGCCATAGGGCAGTACATCTTTGGAATAAGTGGGGAGGGCATGCAAGAGAAATTTGGAAAGCTAAAGGGGCTAAAGGAACACATAAGCCAGAATTTTGGTTGCCAAGTGCTAGTGTCTACTTTGTAACACTAATTACAGAAAAACTCCACTTGGTGTATGTTTTTAATGTTATGTTTTCTGGGCCAAGCAGCGTTTGTGTTTTAAACATGGGAAGTTAGTAGAATGTCTTTGTTTAAATTATTGGTATGTCTGTCTTGTCTTTTTAATAAGGATGCGTAAGCAGATTCACGCATGCAAACCGTCATTGTCCCAAACATCCATATGCAAAGCTGAGGAGAGAAGAACCAACAGACAGACTGAATAAAAAACAAACTGCAGAGAACAAAGCTGTTGCTGAATGGCTGGCAAAGTAAGTTATTTCATATAAAATGCAAAGCTGTTTTTATTATTATTATTATTATAATAATAATAATAATAATTAATAATTGCTTTTAAACATTGAAAGTATTTTATTATTATTATTATTATTAATAATAATAAAATACTTTCAATGTTTAAAAGCAATTCGTAAATGAAATAAGTTTAAAAGCATTGAGAATTGGGAACATTTTGTCATGTCACTTTGGATGTATTGTAAGTATGGCATTTCAAACCACACTCGGCAAGTCTTGTTTTTTAAAGGCTTCTTATTCCCTCTTACTTCACGGTTGTCTTTGCTTTGAATGAACCAATCCTTTCCTTAGCTTAATTAAATGAAATCCAAGGGACTATCAGGCTACAGTGTTTTCAGTTGCTATTTATAATGCTAACATTCATCTTTACTGACAGGTACTGGGAGATGAGAGAACAGCGCACTCCTACGTTGAAAAGCAAAACTACTCATAAGCCTGACCAGGAGCAGCAGGATCCCATGGAATATCTTCAGTCTGAAGATGAGGAGGAGGAAAAAAATATTGCCCATTCAGTTTCCTGTAGCCGCCTCCAAGAACAGCGCGAACGCTTGCATGGAGCACTGGCACTAATTGAGCTTGCCAACTTGGCTGGGGCACCATTACGACAGTAATGGACGAACTGGACCTGCTGATAAAAAGTACTGCATTTGGTACTTAAAACCAGTTAGCTCCTGGGCATAAGCTAAGCACCTTATTTGCTTCTATAGGCTGCTATTCTGTAGAATTTATGAAGAATGTTGTTGCCCCAGAAAATGGGGTAAGAGAATTGCACTTTTTTTTTTGTATGAGAAAGTCAGATGTAAAGCTTTTTAAAGTATTTTGTAAATAGGAGACTGTATAATGCAGAGTGGGAAATGCTCATGTTATGGAAAGCTAGATTTGCAAAGTTAGGGCTTTGCTCTTAATCACAATTATGTGGAAGTAAGTCACTGCAATCAGTGGGGCTTGCCTCTATGTAAAAGTGTGTAAAGTCAGAATTCCTGTCATTCTTTGATAAAGTTTTCACAGGAAGCACTTTCTGAACTCATTAGATTAGAATAATGGTACGTACGTTCAAAGAAAATAGTTGAAACATTTTTTTAAAAAAATTGGATGTAAACAGTGATGCAACCATGGTTTTTCAAACATCAATATTTTACCTAGCATTGCTCGCTAGAATGCTAGAAATAGCTGTTGTAACCTTGTAGCAGCATAGAATAACTGGGTAGTATGTCGTTCAGAATCTTCACTGTGACTACTGACATGGAGACTGACTTTCCTTTTAGTAGGCTGAGGTCTTGGCGGTCTCTTGGTTGAGTAGCACTTCTTGTTCCCAACAGAATATTGGGAGCATTTGCACATTGTTGGACTCACCTATACATCTTGCAAATTCTAGGCATCATGGTAACATTCCATCAATTGAGGATTTCTTTCAGATTTAGACCCTAGAGCAATGGGGTTTGTTTTTGGTAATGGGGATATTTACAGGGTAGCATTGGTTTTAGTAAAAGACAGCAAACACTAATACTGCTTCAGAAGATTTTATTGCAGATAGATATTTCTTGCATAACGCCACCTTATTGCTTCCATTTGAAACGTTACATACCAAGTTTTGTGTTCACTAGCTAGTACAGTTATTGATAAAAATATTTGCTATACAATTAGTAAATTAGGCTTCTGGAAGTAGTTGCAAGTGTGAGATATATGGATTAGTATTTTTCCCCCTTTCCCCCCAAATTAAGATATAGGGATAGCACTTAGTGCTCTTGAGCACTCAACGGGGAAAAAAGGTATAGCCTTAATAGTTTTAAGTTATCATATGCCAGGCATGTGCCTTTTATAGCGATTTGTGATCAAATTGAGTAGAGGTGCATAATAGACTAAGAGAATTTTATGCTCCTGTTTTTAGAAAAAAATTAAGGCTATTGGCATAAAAATATAAACTATGTGATACTTGACCTAACAACCACCTATTAGCATTTGTTGGACTTCATTCCTTCTGACCACAACAAATGAGCAAAGAATGTTATTTCCCAGTATAAAGTTTAATTACAGATGTCTTGTCATTGGCAAGATAAAGATACATTTCCAGGGTTCTACTTATATAGTGTCAAAGTCATTTTTGTATATCCTTAAGAATTATGTATTAATGCTGGCAAACAGCTAGAAAGGGGGAAGGTAGTGCAGTAGATGGATTTAAATTACACTGTCACTTTTTGGCTTGTTAATTTCTTATGTTTGTTTGCCACCTCTGATTCTTTAAAGCAAAGCACTTCAACCTGGATTTTTCGAGTTCATAACAATTGACATGAAGTCCTTGGGGAAAAAAGGCTAAGGACCCTCAAATGCCAACTTTGATGCTTTCCCCAAAAGGGGAAAGACATTTTGCACTTCATGGAATCCAACTGATAACTTGAAGGTAAAGTTACGACTGCAACATCTGGTATTGCGAGCAAGGCCTAATTCATTGTTGGTACACACAAACACATTCCCTTTTTTTCAATCTATATTTACACAGAATGCATATTGAAAATATGCATTTAATTATTTTTTTAAAGAAAACCCTGCATACTGACTAGCTCTAGGCTAGTTGAGCTGCTTTACCAATTATGTATAAAATACATCTTTGGAAAAACTCTAGAATAAGTTACATTTGTGAAAAAGATTGGCATTTTGAAATGGTGGTTCAAGAATTCTCTGCTTCATATGATTAAGCTGTACTTTTGGCATGAATTAAAATGCTGTAATTCTAATAAGCTTTGAATAAAAAGTTGCCTGAGTTTTAAAACTGTTTATGATGATACTGTTGCTTTGCATTGTATCCTAGAATGTATGCTACATTCAGAAGTTCTGGTGCATGCACAATAGTTCTGTGTCTCTGACTCTTGTACGTTGAAGAACTGGTTGGTACAGTTCTCTCTCTAATTAAAAAGTTATTTAACAGGAAATGCAAAGCACCTTGTGTGCATTTGAAACCTTGACTTATACAGTGGTACCTTGGGTTACATACGCTTCAGGTTACAGACTCTGCTAACCCAGAAATAGTGCTTCAGGTTAAGAACTTTGCTTCAGGATGAAAACAGAAATCGTGCGGCGGTGGCGCAACAGCAGGAGGAGGCCCCATTAGCTAAAGTGGTGCTTCAGGTTAAGAACCGTTTCAGGTTAAGTACAGACCTCCAGAACGAATTAAGTACTTAACCTGAGGTACCACTGTAAGCCTGTTTTGGTTCATATGCTTTCTTAGGGGCTTATTCTAGCACTGGAAAATATTTTTATTAAACTGTGTGAGTGAGGAGAAGGAGCTACAAATACAGCCGTGGGAAAAAGAAAGTGCTCTTTGAATTCTGTGGTTTTGCATATCAGGACATAAAAGCAATTATTTGTTCCTTAGCAGGTCTTAAAATTGGGTACATAAAACCTCAGGTGATGAACAACAACAACACATATACTACATCATGTCATGATTTATTTGAGAGAAATAAAGCCAAGATGGAGAAATCATGTGTAAAATCGAAGTACACCCTGACTGCTTCCGTAGGAATTAAGAGGCTAAGTAGCAGGCGCAGGATTGCTAATCAAATGCCCTTGCTTAATTGATCATCAGCAAGTGTACCACTTGTCATTGTTCTATATATTTGATCAGTTTGTAGTTATTATTCTTGAGCTCTTCGAATATTCATCCAAACTTCTTTAGCAATTCAGTGCCAGGTGTGTTGATGTTGAGTCACTTGTGCCAGCTCCGAATAATAATAATAATAATTATTATTATTATTATTATTATTACCCTGCCCAACATATGAAGAGTTGAGTGTGTCAGTGTATGGTTAGGAGAATTTTTTTAACGTGCTATTATAGGTTCATAAGTATGCATTCAAAATAAGATGCCTAGATCTTGATCTCTCAAGAAAGAATGTGAACATCAATCCTGCTGCTGTGAAGGGCTGAGAAAGTTAAACATGGATCGGTTGTGAAATAGAATGAAATGGGTTCTAGGATTTGCTAAAGGGGATATATGTGTAGGTCATACAAAGGCTGTTAAGGCTGAATAATGTTTGTCACTTCAGTTTGCCATTCTCATGGCAGTGTGCAAAAGCATTTGATCCCCAGGACTATTGGCATCCATCAGTCATGAGACAATGGAGTTCGCCTCTGAGGGTGAAGTCTAACCGCTGCGTTAGTAGCACCAAAGGGACCTTTCTTGGGTGCAAACCTGGGCAGTGTGTATGGGGGTCCTGGGCTGCCGAGATGACAAGACCCCATTTGCGGCCTTGCTGGTGGGGTCTCCAGGAATGAACCTTTAATAATGGGTGTTGCTGTGCTTTGTAATGGATTAGGAACCGAAGATCTCTCAGAAAACTAATTGTAACAGGTAAGAAAGCAACCTGAGTTCTTAACAACAAAGGCACCAAAATGCAATAATAATAATAATGGATTATAAACACATTGGCATTTGGCAACAACATAAGTTCCTTTAGAAACACAATTTACAAAGACTCATAATCTAGTCCAGGGGTCAGCAAACTTTTTCAGCAGGGGGCCGGTCCACTGTCCCTCAGACCTTGTGGGGGGCCGGACTATATTTTGAAGAAAAAAAAATTCATATGCCCCACAAATAACCCAGAGATGCATTTTAAATAAAAGGACACACTTGACTCATGTAAAAACATGCTGATTCCCGGTCTGTCCATGGGCCGGATTTAGAAGGTGATTGGGCCGGATCCGGCCCCCGGGCCTTAGTTTGCCTACCAATGATCTAATAATAGTAATATTTATACCCCGCCTATCTGGCTGGGTTTCTCCAGCCACTCCGGGCAGCTTCCAATGGAATATTAAAATACAATAACCTATTAAACTTTAAAAGCTTCCCTAGAAACTTGCTATAACATGAAATAATAATAGGTGTAAATATATGATGCAAACTACTAATAATTATTAATAGCAGAATGTTGTCGCCCTATATATAGAAATGAGCAAACCGGTGATATTTTAGGGAGCAGGCTAGCAGGCAAGGCCCATGACTTACATCATAGGAGCCTACTCAACACAAAACACTGTTGCTGTATGTAAGTTTTATTTGTTTTTTATCTTATATTTTGGAAATGCACATCCAGGTGTTTTTCCCCCCTTTAAATTTCTTCCGGGGGGGGGGGGAAGAGAATTAAATATGTCAAGTTAAATTAATTGGAAACAGCTTGCAGATACTTAATCGGCTTAGGATTTTATATAAGTTAAGAGATGAATTTATATGTTTAATTTCAAAATGAAAAGATCTAAGGATGATAATGTTCAAGTTAAATTTTATAAGAACTGTGATTTGGAAAGCCGTTAAAAGGATATGCACTGAAATTCAACCAAGGGGAAGCGAGGAAGTCACTTAACCATGTTAATAAATGTACTTTTTAATAAGGTTATGATTTATGTTTGTTTGTTTTATGTGTTCATTTGTTTATAATTTTGTGAAAACCAATAAAAAATATTTGAAAAAGAGAGAGAGAGAGAGAGAGAGTGGGGCCCTAAGCTATAGCTTATTTAGCTTATCTGTAAATCCGGCAGAGACATCACCTTGCCAACAAAGGTCCGTATAGTAAAAGCTATGGTTTTCCCAGTAGTGATGTATGGAAGTGAGAGCTGGACCATAAAGAAGGCTGATTGCCGAAGAATTGATGCTTTTGAATTCTGGTGCTGGAGGAGACTCTTGAGAGTCCCATGGACTGCAAGAAGATCAAACCTATCCATTCTTAAGGAAATCAGCCCTGAGTGCTCGCTGGAAGGACAGATCCTGAAGCTGAGACTCCAATGCTTTGGCCACCTCATGAGAAGAGAAGGCTCCCTGGAAAAGACCCTGATGTTGCGAAAGATGGAGGGCACAAGGAGAAGGGGACGACAGAGGACGAGATGGTTGGACAGTGTTCTTGAAGCTACCAGCATGAGTCTGACCAAACTGCGGGAGGCAGCAGAAGACAGGAGTGCCTGGTGTGCTCTGGTCCAGGGGGTCCTGAAGAGTCGGACACGACTAAACAACAACAACAACAACAACAACAACAAAGCAGTACCACCCCTGGGTTTTGGATGAGAGTCTCTCCCAGCTATACCTGGAGATGCCAGAGACTCCCGTGTGCAAGGTTCTACCACTGAGCTTCAGCCCTTTCCCACCCAAAGTTACAGAATTGCATGAATAGGCCTTAAACCTTAATCGGAAGTCATGCAACACTGACATCCCAAGCCACTGACATGAACAAAACCCACATTTTGGAACTAGCCTTAAGCTACCTGTCATTTAGAACCTTTTAATCTTTGAGGGACCCACAGCGCCTAGGACTTGCCGATCGCATGGTCGGCGGTTCGAATCCCCGTGGAGGGGTGCGCTCCCGTCGTTTGGTCCCAGCGCCTGCCAACCTAGCAGTTCGAAAGCACCTCCGGGTGCAAGTAGATAAACAGGGACCGCTTACCAGCGGGAAGGTAAACGGCGTTCCGTGTGCTGCACTGGCTCGCCAGATGCAGCTTTGTCACGCTGGCCACGTGACCCGGAAGTGTCTCCGGACAGCGCTGGCTCCCGGCCTCTAGAGTGAAATGAGTGCACAACCCTAGAGTCTGGCAAGACTGGCCCGTACGGGCAGGGGTACCCTTACCTTTTTACCTTTTAATCTTTGAACATACCTGTCCTACTCCAAGGAACACTGGAGATGGGACTCTAGAAAGAAAAGAAAACTGTATCACATGCAATTTAAAAACAAAACAAGATTTAGATAACTCTTTTTTGTGTGGGGTCACGAAGAGTTGGACACAACTAAGCTATTAAACAACAACAACAAGACCTCAAAATTCCTACCACAGTCCCCATAACTCTTGCCCGGGTCACGGGTGGCGCGTTAAATGCCAGCGCGCCCTAACCCGAGCGGCCTGCGCTCTGCGCTGCCTGGAGAGGCGAAAGCGGCACCAGAGGGCGCCCCAAACTCAGCGCTGGCGAGAAGTTTCCGCGGGAGCGCAAGAGGGCGCGTTGCCGCCGCCGCCGCCGCCGAGTGGGTGGGGACGGGGAGGCTGGCTGGCTGGCTGGCAGGGCACGATCTCCTTCCTGTTTGGCTCGGCTTCCTCCGGCGGCGGCGGGGATGCCGCGCGGAATGGCCAGGCGCCCGGTTCTCGCCAAGAGATGAAAGGCAGCCAAGAGGAGAAGCCGGAGCCGGCCGCTTCTGCCGCCGCCGCCCCTTCCCCTCTGCTCCGGCTGCTTTCCGCCCTCTTCTACGGGATCTGCTCTTTCTGCATCGTCCTGGTCAACAAGGCGGTGCTGACGGCTTACAGGTGAGGAGGAGGAGGAGGACGAGCACCTGGACGGCTGGCGATCCCGCGCACCGTCGGAGGTGGTGGGGGGGACAAAACCCCCAACTTCCCCCTCCCCGATCGTGGCTGTGAGATCCGCTTCCTGCCCCTGCCCCATTCAAAAGCTACTTTTCTACCCAAGACTTCCTTGCAGCGTCCGTCCCCGCCGCCTCTGGGCACCGATCCTGCTAACTCGACGGCAACCCACCCACCCCATTTGTCCCGTAGTTTCCTGGCTGGGCCACAAAGCTCCTTCATCGGTGCTTCTTTTTCACCCCCTCTGCAAATAATGCCGGCCCCCCCCCCATCTCTTCTTGAACTCACACTTGCATTTTGCAAGGTGTTTGGTGACTGGGAAGCTCAATGTGAGAGCATCAGGTTTCCTGTTCAGGTCTCTTTGGGGAGACAGTGTGGTGTAGTGGTTAGAGTGTTGGGCTAGGCGCTGGAAGAGACCAGGGTTCAAAATATCCCTGCTGGGCCATGAAGCTCTGGAGTGACCTTGGGCCAGTCCCTCTATCTCAGCCACACAGGGTTATTGTAGGAATTAACGAGGAGCCAGAGAACAATGTGTCCCTCCTTAGAGGAAAAAGTGAGATAGAGAATTCAATAAATATCCTTCGAAATATGGACAGCTTTTGCTCTGGTGGCAAAGGTTGAACTGAGCTCCAGAGCTTCTCAGTCCAAAGTTCTTGCTCAGCTGTTGCTTTTTCTGGTGGTTAGCCAGCCTGGGAGAGTGGAAATGCAGGAATATGTTTCATGAATCATACACATACAGTCAAAACGAACAGCTTTCATGGTTCAAGAATGCATTCTTCAGGAACTTCTCTTTTTTACTTTGTTTCTCCATACATTTCTAAACCCTTAAATCAAATGCAAAAAAAGGCTTCTCAAAGCAGTGTACGCAGACCACATGGCAAGGTAAACTTGTGCAAATAAAGATGTTTTAAGATGGTATCTAAAACTAAGCACAGAAGACACCTCCTTTAATACATGAATTCCTCAATACAGGCTGTACTACATTATAAACTCCATTTCTTTTAGCTGTCAAACTCAAATATCACACAGGACAGTTAGCAGTACTTCTCCAGCAGATCACAAAGGACAGGCAGACATGTATTAGGGCTGCCATACGTTCTGATTTTCCCGGACTTTACTGGGATTTCAAAGGTGGAATTGACGTCCGAGGAGAATTTCTGAAAGGTGGCACTTTGTCCTTGATCTTGGACAAGTCAATAGGAAAACCACTTTTTTGGGGGGTGGGTCTTAAAAAAGCCCAGCAAGTTTGGGGTGTCCTGGTTTTTACTTTTTGAAATATGGCAACCCTAATGTATGGATAAAGGTGGTCCTTTAAGTAGGCTGGGCTTTATATGTGAATAGTTAGCTCTTCAATTTGACCTGAGAGCATATTGACTGCCAGCGGAGATCTTTAAGCAGCAGTTCCTTGGTCCAGGAACAGCTACAGCTGTTGCATCAGCCGGAACTGATAATGGGCATTCCTAGCCTCAGGGGGGACCTGCACCCAAGGTTACAAAAGATGGATCAAGTAACACCCCCAGAATGTGGAGCTCTCCTACAAAGAGAGTGCAGCCCCATCTAGAACCAGCAACAGGCCTATCTCCTGGACATAAGGTAAAGGTAAAGGGACCCCTGACCATTAGGTCCAGTCGTGGCCGACGGGGTTGCAGCGCTCATCTCGCTTTATTGGCCGAGGGAGCCGGCGTACAGCTTCCAGGTCATGTGGCCAGCATGACTAAGCTGCTTCTGGCAAACCAGAGTAGCACATGGAAACGCCATTTACCTTCCTGCCGGAGTGGTACCCATTTATCTACTTGCACTTTGGTGTGCTTTCAAACTGCTAGGTTGGCAGGAGCAGGGACCGAGCAACGGGAGCTCACCCTGTCGCGGGGATTCGAACCACCAACCTTCTGATCGACAAGTCCTAGGCTCTGTGGTTTAACCCACAGTGCCACCCGCATCCCATAGGAGCCACTCAACCATAGATCCTCCATCTTGAGCTGTGTGGAGAGGGGGCTCTTTGAAAACTAGAACTTCCCGTAGGGTAAGATGGCTGTTGAATAGTCCTGTGGTTGCAGTTGATGGGAGGAGAGAGCCCATCTCACACAGAACAACAAGAGCTAGATGGGGGGCAGCTTTCCCCATAGGGCCAGGTGGTACTCAGAAAGCCCTGTGGTGGCTGCTGGGAGAGGAAAAGGCCTCCTCAGTTGGGATATGGGAGCTGGACGTGATAGATCGCCAGATTCATGATTAAACTGCCATCAGCTCCAGCAAGCGTGGTCAATGGTCAGAGAAGATGGGAGTTGCAGTTCAACATCATCTGGAGGACGAAAGGTTCCTTACTCCTTCTGTAACGTGTAAACTCCACTGGATCACAGTCTTGAGCCTGTACAAGCAAAATAACTCCTGGCTTTGGGGTCACCTTCCATGTGCAAAACTCTTCCCTCAAGTCAGAAATAGCCCTTTTGGGAGTGGAAGAGACTTTCTGCTTGTAAAAGGGCATCTTTGCATCCCACCGTGTCACATTTTATTTTTTTATTTCTAAGTAATGATAAATAGTTTTACAGCGGTGGTTTCTTCCCGAGGCTTGCTGGGAACTATAAAGTTCTATGAGAAGATCACATCTCTGTAGCAGGAAATGTTCAATGCGATCACAAAAGTACGATTCCAAGCAGCTAGTGAAAACAATGAAAGTTTTATTCTGTAGCTTCAGAACCAGGCAGCTTTTTCATCTTTCTTTGCCAAAGGAAAAACAAATTCCTGCCAGATTAGAGAAATAGGTTCATATGCTGTTGATGAGAATTGCACAGAAAAATAATTGCCAAGTACGGTAATCTGTACTGTCAACTGTTGCTTGTCTTGTCTTTCAAATGTCATGAAAATATTGTATTGAAAAGCTAACTGCCCCCCCTTAATTTGCACTAACCTTCTTTGAAAGGGAATAAGCCAATTTTATTTTCCTTCAAGCAATATCAGAACCTAACTTGAAGAGCTGTTATATTTTCTTTCGTTTTATCAACGTCTTCAAGAGCTTTGTTTCTTTCTGAAATAAAAAAAGAGTTGTCTAAATCTTGTTTTGTTTTGTTTTTAAATTGCATCTGATACAGTTTTCTTTTCTTTCTAGATTCCCATCTCCAATGTTCCTTGGAGTAGGACAGGTATGTTCAAAGATTAAAAGGTTCTAAATGACAGGTAGCTTAAAGCTAGTTCCAAAATGTGGGTTTTGTTGATATCAGTGGCTTGGGATATCAGTGTTGCATGACTTCCGATTAAGGTTTAAGGCCTATTCATGCACGGTGGACGCGGGTAGCGCTGTGGGTTAAACCACAGAGCCTAGGACTTGCCGATCAGAAGGTCGGCAGTTCAAATCCCCGCGACAGGGTGAGCTCCCGTTGTTCAGTCCCAGCTCCTGCCCACCTAGCAGTTCAAAAGCACGTCAAAGTGCAAGTAGATAAATAGGTACCGCTCCGGCGGGAAGGTAAACGGCGTTTCTGTGCGCTGCTCTGGTTCGCCAGAAGTGACTTAGTCATGCTGGCCACATGACCTGGAAGCTGTACACCGGCTCTCTCGGCCAATAAAGCGAGATGAGCGCCGCAACCCCAGAGTCGGTCACGACTGGACCAAATGGTCAGGGGTCCCTTTACCTTTACCTTATGCAATTCTGTAACTTTGGGTGGGAAAGGGCTGAAGCTCAGTGGTAGAGTCTTGCACACGGGAGATCTCATGTTCAGTCTCTGTTATCTCCAGGTATAGCTGGGAGAGACTCTCATCCAAAACCCTGGAGTGGTACTGCTTTGTTGTTGTTGTTGTTTAGTTGTTTAGTCGTGTCTGACTCTTCGTGACCCCCTGGACCAGAGCACACCAGGCACTCCTGTCTTCCACTGCCTCCCGCAGTTTGGTCAAACTCATGCTGGTAGCTTTGAGAACACTGTCCAACCATCTCGGCCTCTGTCATCCCCTTCTCCTTGTGCCCTCCATCTTTCCCAACATCAGGGTCTTTATCAGGGAGTCTTCTCTTCTCATGAGGTGGCCAAAGTCTTGGAGCCTCAGCTTCAGGATCAGAGCCAGTGTGGTGTAGTGGTTAAGAGCGGTAGTCACGTAATCTGGGGAACCGGGTTCGCGTCTCCACTCCTCCACACGCAGCTGCTGGGTGACCTTGGGCCAGTCACACTTCTTTGAAGTCTCTCAGCCCCACTCACCTCACAGAGTGTTTGTTGTGGGGGAGGAAGGGAAAAGGAGATTGTTAGCCGCTTTGAGACTCCTGAAGGGGAGTGAAAGGCAGGATATCAAATCCAAACTCCTCCTCCTCCTCCTCCTCCTCTTCTTCTTCTTCTTCTTCTTCTTCTTCTTCTTCTTCTTCTTCTTCTTCTTCTTCTGTCCTTCCAGTGAGCACTCAGGGCTGATTTCCTTCGTAATGGATAGGTTTGATCTTCTTGCAGTCCATGGGACTCTCAAGAGTCTCCTCCAGCACCATAATGCTAGTCAGTGTCAATACTGAGCTACGTTGACCAGTGGTCTGACTCAGGACATGGTAGCTTCATATGTCCCATCCTTTGAGATGGGAGAGCCCAGACAGGGCCCCTGGAGCTTCCCCTATATTGCACCACCATCTCTGGCTTCATCACCTGATCAGGATCTTGAATCACATGCCACATTTCATGTGTCAAGAAGGTGCATGTCTGTCGCAGGGGCGTTCTCTACTCTTGAAGGTTTCCTGCCACAGACATGCACCTTCTCGACATGTGCAATGTGACAGTAATGTGGCAGAGGGGACAGGGCCAAAAATAGTGCCCCAGCTCTCTGCACTTACATGACTGAAATTGTGTGAGGGGAACACCTCAGTAGTATGTTTATTCACCTTCATCTTGAAAGGGATGAAATGCAGATTGGTTGCTTCCTCTTGAGTACAGTCATACCTTGGAAGTCGAATGAAATCCGTTCTTGAACTCCATTCGACATCCAAAATGTTTGGAAACCAAAGCGCAGCTTCTGATGGGCTGCAGGAAGTTCCTGGAGAAAATTGGAAGCCATGGAAGCTTCCAATTCGTCAGACATTCGGTTTCCAAAAATACAGTGGACGCTCAGGTTGCGGACGTGATCCATTCGTAACCCGCAGCAGCGCGCCTGCGCCTATGCGGGTTGCAATTTGGCAGTTATGTGCAAAGCGCGGTTTAGTGCTTCTGCGCATGCGCAACCCCCAAAACCCGGAAGTAACCCATTCTGGTACTTCTGGGTTTCACTGGGTCAGTAACCTGAAAAAAACACAACCTGAAGCGTCTGTAATCCGAGGTATGACTGTAGTTTGCAAACCGGAAAAGTCACTTCCAAGTTTGCGGCCAAACGGTTTAGGAGCCAAAACGTTTGAGAAGTAAGCTGTTCGAAAACCAAGGTAGGACCGTACAACCTAGTCACTAATGTACAACATGAGGTGTGCTCCAGCCATAAAGCTGGGATACAGTGACCATGGTAGCATGTAACACTGAACCATGGTTTAGCGCTGCATGCATGAACTAGAATGAGCACACCCAGAATCTCGAACTTCCACTTCTGCATAGCCAGGAAAAGTACTTCTGCAGTGTTTAGTTTCACTTTCAAGGAATGCTGACTTAGTGCTGGATATGAACTATGGCTTAAAACAAACTCCATTTACTTTCTAAACAAGCCAATTGCAATCCATAGCCTTGTTGAGTCACAAGAGTTTTCAACCGCGATTTCCCTTTAACTGGAGATTCTTTGAAAGCAAAACTAAACACTGCAGAATTCAGGCCATATGGAGGGAGGGCAGGGACAGAGCACAAGCCTAGTGCTTTGCTCGGATTCATTCTAGCTTGTTACAGTGGTACCTCGGGTTAAGTGCTTAATTCGTTCCGGAGGTCCGTACTTACCCTGAAACTGTTCTTAACCTGAAGCACCACTTTAGCTAATGGGGCCTCCTGCTGCTGCCGTGCCGCCAGAGACCGATTTCTGTTCTCATCCTGAAGCAAAGTTCCTAACCTGAAGCACTATTTCTGGGTTAGCGGAGTCTGTAACCTGAAGCGTATGTAACCCGAGGTACCACTGTACAGTACATTCAAAGCTTCCCAGTGGCACTGCCGTTCTGGATGTGCAGTGCAGACTGTGACCAATTTGCACAGTGGTTATGTTCTGGACCCCCATGTGTGGGCCCGCTTAAGGCCACTCTGCCTCTTTCCTCTCCCTTCCTTTTTTAAAAATACATTTTTATTGGTTTTTTTAACATATAATTTCCAACAATCATATAACATAACTTCTTATCTTATACAATGTTTTAGATCTTCCGTCAACACCTCTGATGATTTTTCATTCTTTATCACTTTATCACTTATTCTGCATTTCTTAATTTCTCTATTACTCTTAATTATCATTAGCTAATAATTCTCCTCGTAGTCTTTCTTGCAATATTTCAAATAGTCCTCCTTACAAAACTTCTTGCTGTCCTACTAGCGTAGTCTGTTCATTACAGTTACTTTTGAAATAGTTCGTATATTTACTCCAGTCTTCTAAGAATCTCTCGTCCCACAGGTTTCAAATCCTTCCTGTTAGTTTATCAAATTCCGCATAGTCCATCAATTTCACCTGCCATTCTTTTGTCAGTAATTCTTCTTGCTTCCGTTTTTTATAACGAAATATTTTTAGAATGTGCTATTATTTGATTGTTATTTGACTGTTGTTAGCCGCCCTGAGCCCGGCTCGGCTGGGGAGGGCGGGATATAAATAAAATTTATTATTATTATTATTATTATTATTATTGTGCCAATAATATTCTTGCTGCTGTCATTGCATATAAAAACAACTTACAATCCTGTCTATTAATATCATCTCCTATAATGCCAAGTAGAAATGCTTCTAGTTTCTTAATAAATGTATATTTTAACATTTTTTTCATCTCATATATCATTTCCCAGAAGTTTTTCACTTTTTTACATTCCCACCACATGTGATAGAAAGTTCCTTCCTTTTCTTTAGATTTCCAACATTTATTACTTGTTTTATACATTTTAGCTAATTTCACAGGGGTGATATATCACCTATACATCATTTTCATCACATTTTCTTTCAAAGCATTGCATGCAGTAAATTTTAATCCTTCTTTCCATAGATTTCCCCAATCTTTTAACTGTATATTATACCCAAAATCCATTCCGGAGCCCCAGAATATAGCCCAATGTATCATAACCAACTTTACCTCTTCATCTTTCATATGCCATTCAAGCAGCAGTTTATACATTTTGGACAAAGTTTTATACTTGTTATTCAATATTCTATTTCAAATTTTGATTTATTATCATTAAATCATTTCCCCCCATTCCTCCCCCTTCCAGCTCTGCCCCATTCTGCCCCTTTTAGCAATGTTTTTGTGACATTTTTGCAGTCACTTCCGGGTTTGGCGCAGTGCAAATGTGCGCGGTCACACACATATCTGACACGCCTAAAATGGTTGCTGCCATTGGTTAGGCTCTGCCTCTACTGATGAAGTCTGCAAACATGGAATGCCTGTTAGAGTCACTGAAAGGAGAACCCACTCTTGCTGTGCAGCAATGCAGCTTTTCTGCAGACAAAAAAGTGTTTTGTGATTCACCTCCCCCCCCCCATATATTTGAAATAGTATTCTGCTGTTGCGTACATGACTATTATTGTTTTGTTTTTTAGATGGTAACCACTATTCTGATCTTATATGTGTCAAAACTGAATAGAATCATTCACTTCCCCGATTTTGATAAGAGTATTCCTATGAAGGTAAGACGAAGTGCATAACTTTAGAAAGTGAAATTCCTAATCTGATGCTGTGTTATATGTTGCATAATATAATCAGTGCTTAGTTTAGAGCTTTTTTGCCCCATGCTTGTCTCGCCGCCATAGGGAGTACTGAGTTTTTCTCTCCAACAAAGTATGTAATGCTAAACCATGGTTTACTGCAGGCATAATAATAATAATAATAATAATAATAATAATAATAATAATAATAATAATAATTTATTTATACCACGCCCATCTGGCTGGGTTTCCCCAGCCACTCTGGGCGGCTTCCAACTGAATATTAAAAACAATACAGCACCAGACATTGAAAACTTCCCTAAACAGGGCTGCCTTCAGTTGTCTTTTAAAAGTAAAATAGTTGTTCATTGCCTTGACATCTGCTGGGAAGGTGTTCCACAGGGCTGCTTAGGGAACTTTTTTAAGTTTGACGTTTTATTGCGCTTTTAATATTCTGTTGGGATGGGTGGGGTATAAATAATAAATTTTATTTTATTTTAATTGTTTTATGTCGAACTGACTTCTGGAACGGATTCTGTTTGACTTCCGAGGTACGACTGTATATGAATAGCATCCTTGCTTCTCCCTGTACCAGTTCTTATATAGCCAAAAAGGCAGGAGTCGCTTGCAAGAGCAGAGGGTAGCAGCAGGCTTGGGATGGCTCTTCCTCTCTCGCGCTCCTATTCAATTAAATAGTAGACTTTGTGTTCAATTCTGCCTCTGAATTGGCTCCCACCTGGCGAATTGTGTGCCATGTAGATCTATATTTTTCAGCCCAAATGTTGGGCTGGAAACGTTAGAACAAACATAGTCTGCAATTCTCTACAGTCATCCGGAAATGAGCCCCATTAAACACAAAGTGCTCCAAGTAAACATCCATTAGATCTTTAATTTTTTCAATTTGGCCCATGTTTATTGCATCTTTAGAGCAGGAGTGTGGAACCTTTGGTCCTCCAGATGGTGTTTAACTCCAACTCCCATCAGCCCTAGTCAGTGTGGGATGATAGGATTTGGAGTCTCAACATGTTCTCCACCCCTACTTTATAATGTGGAATGGTTGCCTTTTGCTGCCCTCATGTTAGGCTTAAAGGTAAAGGTAAAGGGACCCCTGACTGTTAGGTCCAGTTGCAGACAACTCTGGGGTTGCGGCGCCCATCTCACTCTACAGGCCGAGGGAGCCGGCGTTTGTCCACAGACAGCTTCCGGGTCATGTGGCCAGCATGACTAAGCCGCTTCTGGTGAACCAAAGCAGTGCACGGAAACGCTGTTTACCTTCCCGCCGGAGTGGTACCTATTTATCTACTTGCACTTTGACGTGCTTTTGAACTGCTAGGTGGGCAGGAGCAGGAATTGAGCAACGGGAGCTCACCCCGTTGCGGGGATTCGAACTGCCGACCTGCTGATCAGCAAGCCCTAGGCTCTGTAGTTTAGACCACAGCGCCACCCACGTCCCCTTGTTAGGCTTAGTGGAGTCAAAATTGTGGTTGGTGTAAACACGACGTGTTGATTTTTTATTTTATTTTATTTTCATGGTTCCTGGTAATCTTAATTTTTGTGAGATCAAACTTCTTTTATTGAAAAAAGCAGGGCCTGGAATGTTGTATAAAACATTGCCAAAGTTCAAAAGTGGCAATCATTTACAAAGTTTGCCACTTGCTGTATTTACTTTTTTCTCTCTGTGCTGGAGTGTATGAACTAACTTGAATAGATTCCTTCCACAGTTTCAGGGGGGGGGAACTGGTTTCATTCTAAATGGTACCCTCATTTTGTTGCAGCTGTTTCCACTTCCTCTGATTTACGTCGGGAATCACATAAGTGGATTATCAAGTACAAGCAAGTTAAGGTACAGCATAAGTTGGGTTGTTGCCGGGCAGTTTGGTTTTTATTTAGCCCCTGTAAGTGAAAATGTTTTGAGACTATTAGAGCCGTGCTGTAGCTACATGCTGATTGAATGAGAGCCATATTGCCACATCCGCAGATTGTTTTGGACAACACACACTGGGTAAAATTGCTGCGTGAGGCAGTTAGAAAGGATTAGTACATACCTTCCATTGATTTATTTTATTTTATTTATTATTTATTTATTTTACAAATATTTATGTACCTTCCACTCAAAATATCAAGGTGCTGTTCAACAATATATACAAATGCAATACAGTGGTACCTCGGGTTAAGTACTTAATTCGTTCCGGAGGTCTGTACTTAAGTTGAAACTGTTCTTAACCTGAAGCACCACTTTAGCTAATGGGGCTTCCTGTTGCTGCCACGCCGCTGGAGCACGATTTCTGTTCTCATCCTGAAGCAAAGTTCTTAACCTGAAGCACTTTTTCTGGGTTAGCGGAGTCTGTAACCTGAAGCGTATGTAACCCGAGGTACCACTGTAAAACATAAGCTATATAAAGCAATAAAAATAATACGAAGAATGAGTGGCTAAAAAAAAAAAAATATAAACCACTGAATATGCCTATCAGTATAGCGCAGTCGGTAGAGCATGAGAGTCTTAATCTCAGGGTCAAGGGTTTGAAAGATTCCTTCCAACTGTATGATTCTATGAAAAGCATGGAAAAATCTTGAAGAGACGTCTGAAAGTTAACAGCAAGGAGGCTTGCAGAGAGAGGGCAGGGAGAGTATTCCACAGCATACGAGTAGCAACGTTAAAGTCCTGTCTTCTAGTCGAAGCCCGTCATGCTTCTGAAACATGGAGAACTAGCAGCGCTCTTCCTGATGAACTCAGTGACTGAGCTGGAATATAAAGGCTTTGTTTATCAATGCAAGAGCCTTGAACCTGGCCTTGTGGCATATGTGTAACCAGGTGTATGTCCACCATCTATGTGAAGTTAGGGTTGCCATATTTTGAAGAGAGAGGGGGGGGGGGGAAAGGATGCTGTGACGGCCATTCAAAGCAAATAAACGCAATTTGTCTCAAATTTTACCCCTGAAAAAGAGGGCAGGTCCTGGAAAAAGAGAAACCCTACCGAAAGTACAGCTCTGAGAGGAATTGAATCTTTTATTTGGAGTCATTGCGCACCTCCCTTGAACCTTATGCCCAGTAAAGAAGTTCACGCACTAGGATGTAGAGGTTTATTGCATGAAAATAAAAGAGACTGAGCACATAGATTCTCCTTCGGGCTGCTAGGTAGCAAACACTCAGGCAGCAAATCGCACAATACACATACACAGCTTAATTGTAAAGTGCAAAGAGAGTCCTTAGTTACCTCAGCCTGGAGAGTGGGTGTATCGATGTGCCACAGGCCCATGCTAAAAGAAAAAGGGGAGGCTGTACTCGGTCTTGAAGCAAGCCGAATGCAAGTCAGAGATAGAGATATATGCCTTCCATGCGAGTTGAGCTGTCGCCTTCCATATCCTATGCCAGCAAGGCAGCAGAATCTCATGCCCATTCTTTGATTTGCGGTCTAGTGAAGTGCAGGGAGAATCCTTGAGAACATAGAGCAAAGAGGGAGGAAGAAGGGGTGGGGGGTAAGAGACCAAAATATGACCTCCAGTAAGAGAACCTAGATAATCAGCTACAGAGATCCTGTTGGATCATTTCACCTGACCATTGAAAATTTGGTGTTTAATTATAGTTTAGGTTCCGTCAGTGCTTTTTTTTCCCTTAAAAAAATGTTTAGGGGTACTCTCATTTTCCTACTCATATTGAAATACTGCCCCTCAATGAGGCCAAACTTAGATTCACAAAATATTTAGGGGTATGTGTACCCCTGCGTACCTCCAGGAAAAAAGCACTGGGTTCTACTGTAATCTGTGGAGAGGGGAGGGTGAGAGAATTCCACAATGCTTTAGACATTTGAACCATTGTCCTGTTTGCTGAGATATATTTGAAGCAGAAGGGACACAACCTTCATTTCAGGAAGACCTTATGGTTATCCATACACTTCCCAAATCATAATTTTACCCTTGAAGGAGGATTTTATTGTGTGTGTGAAGCCTGGTTCCTACGTACAGGAGGGTGATGATTAACTTTCTGGTGACTTCAAGTTTAGTGTACTGATGTTTTCCGTAAGCATTAACGATCATGATGTTTGCTGTACCTTCCCGGCCACGTTTCAGGTAAAAGCTAGTGTTTTATATTTGATTCATGCTAGCTCCATGATCTCCAGAAAGGAAGCATGTAAAAAATTGAGACTGGCCCCCATCGTTACACGTGGGCAACTGGTGCAGATGCTTTAGCAGAGATGTCACATGCTGTCAGCCGCCTGAACAGTGTTTATGGGAACCAATACCCACAGAGCCTCCATCTTTCCAGAGTTCTGACTCCATTTTCTGGAGCTCAGCCCACTCACAACTGCATTTGGGCACCGGTCCAGGGCTTGGGCAGCCACTCCTGAATCAGATGAGAAATAAAGCTTAGGTGTCACCAGTGTACTGATGCCATCATGCTCCAAAACTCCTAGGGACCATATCCAATGTTGTCTTGATATGGGTTTGTTGTTTTTGTAGAAGTCCTTCAGACAGTGTAGGCCTTTGGCTTTCCAGCTTTTTATCGGGAGGTTTTGTGCTGCGTGTTGGAATAGTGGGTGATAGGCCGGGGGATGGGGATAGTTTGCCTACTTTTCCCTGTGTGAACCTGTTCAGAGTTGTTAAGTCGTGGGTTGACATAGCAGCCGGCACAGCGATTTCTTCAAGTAGCTCTTTATTCTGGTAAGCTGGAATAGAACTGACTGCGAACAGCTCAGCTGGCCTGTATTTATAGGCAGCCGGCTGTCAACATTGTAACCACAACAGCCCAGAGTTCCCGCCTAAAATAACTGGCGCGGACCTGAGTGAAAACTATCTACAGACCTGAGTGAAAACTATATACAGTATCCCCCTGTTGGCCCAGGGTGAAACTACACTACATAACACCCCTCCCCACCGAGATAAGGCGTTAGTTACAATCGTAATGGTTTCCTTATATACAGCACTACGCGTAATGGTTCAATTAGGCACAAAAGCATATCGGTTACATTTCCCATACTTAGACCAACAGTGATACCTGTCCAACAACATAGTCCTTTAAATGAGTTGGGCGCTTGGAAACTCTGCCAGACCGCCGGGGACTGGTAGCCAAGTCCGGAGGGCCACACAGTTCTCGCTGAGGCTGTGGTGCGACCCTAGGTGGCGTTGGAACCAACTCCCCTGGATCCGCTGCTGAGAGTGGAGCCTCCGCAAGTGGAGTGGTCTGAGTCTGTTCTGAAACGGCTTGGTTCGGCTCCACGCTGGCAGTTTGCGAGGGAGGTGTAGGTGGGGCCTCGCCATCTGTACGTGTCTCTTCTGGAGCCGCAAGCGCAGTTGGGGGCACCTCGGTAGTGTCCAAGTCCCCAACCCTGCGCCTAAGCTGGTCTATGTGCCGTCGCCACAAGCGTCCGTCTTCGAGTGCCACCTGGTACGAGCGAGGTCCAGTGACTCCCACTACTGTGGCTGGCACCCAAGGGATGTCCCCCACATAGTTCCGGGCAAAGACCTGGTTTCCCGGGACGAATGACCGTGGTGCGTTGGCACAGCCTGGGGGTTCAGCCACGGCAAAGTCTGGGTGTAGCCGGTCGAGCGGTGACCTGAGGCAGCGGCCCATAAGCAGTTCCGCAGGACTCCTCCCTGTGGCCGCATGAGGGGTGATGTGTTGCGCGAACAAGTATTCGGCGACCCGCTCATGCCAGTCTCCCCGGTCCAGGCGCGCCAGTGCCTCTTTTGTCGAGCGCACCATTCTTTCCGCTTGCCCGTTGCTGGATGGATGAAAGGGTGCCGTTAGGGCATGGCGGATGCCCAGTCCCAAAAGATACCGCTCAAACGTGCCTGACGTGAACTGCGGTCCGTTGTCAGAGACAAGGACATCAGGACACCCATGCGTTGCAAACAGGCCTCGCAGCACCCGGATGACAGCTTCGGTAGTGGTGGAGGGCATCAGGGCGACCTCCAGCCATTTGGAATAGGCGTCCACCACTACCATAAAGGTCCGGCCGTGAAAGGGGCCAGCCAGATCGATGTGCACCCTCGACCAGGGTGTCTTTGGCGTCTCCCAGGTGTGTCCCTTAGCTGCCGGTGGTGCAGGCCTCGACTCCTGGCACACTTGACAGGCGGACACCCAGGCAGTGATGGCATCGTCCATATTAGGCCACCAGACGTAACACCGAGCCAACGCCTTCATTTTGACAATTCCCGGGTGGCCAACGTGCAGAGCCTCCAGGACGCACTGACGGAGTCCCTGGGGAATCACGACGCGGTCTCCCCACAGCAGACAGCCGCGATGAGCTGAGAGTTCATGTTGTCTGGTTGCGAAGGGCTGGAACTCCGATGCAAAGGGCCCTTGTGGCCACCCCCTCCACACGCCCGGGCCCATCGATTTCCCCGGGCGGTGGATGAGCCGGTAGTGGTAGGCAGCCAGGAAAACAGTCCATCGCAGCATGCGTGGTGAGAGGACCGGTGGAGTTGGACGATCACCGGCGAGGAGGCCCAGGAGTGGCTTGTGGTCAGTGATGAGGTCAAAAGTCCTGCCATAGAGGTATTCATGGAACCTCTTCACTCCAGCCACAAGTGCCAATGCCTCCTTGTCGAGCTGGCTGTAATTCCGTTCCGTCGGAGATAGTGTCCTGGAAAAGTAGGCGAGTGGTGCTTCTCTTCCATCTGGAAAACGGTGACTAAGGACAGCACCGATGCCAAAAGGTGAGGCGTCGCAGGCAAGGACCAGCGGCCTGGATTCACTGTACTGTACCAGCACACTGTCTGAAGAAAGGAGAGCCTTGACCGCGTTGAAGGCCGCCGTCTCCCGATGACCCCAGGCCCAAGGCGTCTTAGTGCTAAGGAGTCGGTGAAGAGGCTCAGCCACTGTGGCTTTGTGGGGCAGGAACATGTTATAAAAGTTCAGCAGCCCCAGGAACGCCTGCAACTCCGTTTTGTTCTTTGGAGTGGGGGCCTGCTGGATAGCGCGGATCTTGGATGTGGTTGGATGAAGACCGGAGGCATCGATAAGATAGCCCAGGAACTCTACCTGTGGAACGGCGATCTGGCACTTCTCCCTCTTTACCTTGAGCCCGGCCTCCTGGAACCTGGTCAGCACGGCACGGAGGCGCTCGAACAGCTGCTGGTGTGAGTCTGCAGACACCAAGACGTCATCAAAATATGGTACCACGCCCGGAAGCCCTTGCAGGAGACGCTCCATAAGGCTTTGGAAGATGCCAGGAGCCACACTCACCCCGAACTGCAACCGGCGGCAACGGAATGCCCCCCGGTGGGTGACGATCGTCTGGGCTTCAGCAGTGGCATCATCGACTGGCAGTTGTTGATAGGCTTGGGCAAGGTCCAGCTTAGCGAAGACCTTACCCTCACCCAGGGAATGCAGCAGGTGTTGGACAACAGGAACCGGATAAGCGTGCTGCTGAAGTGCCTTGTTGATCGTGCACTTGTAGTCAGCGCAGATTCTCACCGACCCATCTGGCTTGACAGGCGTGACGATGGGGGTTTCCCACTTTGCGTGGTCAACCGGCTCCAAAACTCCTTGGGCGATCAGTTTGTCCAGTTGTTCGTCCACCTTAGCCTTGAGAGCAAAGGGAACCCGGCGTGGCTTTAGCTTGATGGGGGCGACTTGTGGATCAAGGCTAAAGGAGATGGGCGTACCTGTATATTGGCCCAAGGTGCCGTCAAAAACCTCGGCAAAGTCTTTGACCAGACCCTCAGTCTCTGCGTTAGAGATGCAGTTGATGCCGGTGACTTCCAGGCCGAGGGCATCAAACCAGTCTAGCCCTAGGATGCTTGGCCGCTGACCTTCGACCACCACCAACCGGAGCAGGCCCGAAAAATCCTTGAAGGCGATCCGGAACCGGCCAACGCCTACCACGGGAATGTCGTTTCCCTGGTAGTCTCTCAGGTGTACGCGGTGAGAGTCGAGTTGCCTTTTGGACACTCTGGGTACCAGTCTTTTGATGGTGCTCCATGACACGATGGACAGGGCAGACCCGGTGTCGATCTCCATGTCACATGGAGCTCCTTCAATGAGCACCGTGACGTTCAGCTTGCGTTGCGTAGGCGAGTCGGTTTGGCCAATCGTGGTTCCAGACAGGCAGCGGCAGTTGGTGAGAGCGAAACAACTTTCCTTGGCAGACTGGAGTGAAGACTTGGACTTGCGAGTCGATGAAGGGGGGTGTCAGACGGAGCCGATCGGCAGACCTTAGCGATGTGGCCCCTTCTGGAACACTTCCTACAGATGGCGTCTCTGAATCGACACTTGGCACGGGAATGGTTGCCTCCGCAGCCAGCACATTCCGGTTGGCCCTTGGACTTCTGTTGGAACTTCCTGCGCTCCCGCTTTGTCTGGTGCACGTCATCGTCTTCACTGGAGGATGCCTCATCACTGCTGGCCTCTTCATGATGCACCGGAACTGGCTCCCTAGCAAGACGCGGGCTGCTGGACTTGCGGATCTCCTGGGCGGAGCGTTCAGCAGCTTCTGAGGCCACAGCCTCCTCAATGGCTTTCTGTAGCGTGAGGTCTGGCTTGGCTAGGAGGCGCCGTTGCAGATGGATGTCCCGGACCCCGCAGACGATTCGATCCATCAGGGCATCGTCTAAGTCTCGGAACTCACAGTGCATTGCAGCCTGTCGCAGGGCGGTGGTGTAGTTGTTGATTGACTCCCCCTCTGCCTGGTTCCGGTGGTAGAACGCATGGCGGGCAGCAATCTTGGACGGCTTTGGTGCGTAGTGGTTGCGGAGCTTCTCTTGGATCGTGTCCCATGGTGTTGCCTGGACTGCTTCAGGCGCAACCAACGCTCGGGCCGTCTCAAACACCTCAGGCCCACAGAGGCTGAGGAATAGGCCCCGCTTCCGATCCGTTGATACTGCTGTCAGCTCGTTGGCTTGGAGGTAGCAGTCGAACCGAGCGAGGTAGGAGTCCCATGATTCAGAGGCTGGCACAAACGGCGGTAGAGGCACAAGTGAAGCCATGATTCCGATGCCGGCGTGAAGGGCGATGGATGGAACACAGTGCTCTAGCCAGAACAGTCAGCTCTGAATTGGTTCTGCCCAGTGATTTCGCTCAGTGATTTCGCTCTGTGATTCAGCTCAGTGATTCAGCTCAGTTCAGAGGCTGGCCGCATCTGGCTGTGCTCTGATGTCCATCCATCCCACCTTCGTCGCCAGTGTTAAGTCGTGGGTTGACATAGCAGCCGGCACAGCGATTTCTTCAAGTAGCTCTTTATTCTGGTAAGCTGGAATAGAACTGACTGCGAACAGCTCAGCCGGCCTGTATTTATAGGCAGCCGGCTGTCAACATTGTAACCACAACAGCCCAGAGTTCCCGCCTAAAATAACTGGCGCGGACCTGAGTGAAAACTATCTACAGACCTGAGTGAAAACTATATACAGTATCCCCCTGTTGGCCCAGGGTGAAACTACACTACATAACAAGAGTTGTGGGGATTTTCTTTAGATTGTGTTGGAGAAATGGGTATGCTGTTGTGGGGGATGTTTTTGATGGCGTCTCTCTCCAAATAGACCCATTGTTTCGCCTCGTCTTCTAGAATATGCCGGATTATGTGGTGTACTTGGCTGGCAATGTAATATGATTCTACGCTGGGGATTTCCCATCCTCCTCTTGGGGGGAGGAGGTACAGGTATCTGGGGCTTATTCTCAGCTTTTTGTGTGAGAAAATAAACGAGTGTGGGTTTTTCCTGCCACTTCTGGAGTTGGGTTCATGGAGACCCTACCCAATGTTGATGTTTGTCCTCAGGGACAAAATGGCGCCTTGTGGAATCTGCTGCTCTCCGGACTCTTCAGTGCAAGGAGGAATGAAATCACTGAAATACAGTGTCTCCGGTACCCATCCTGAGCACTCAGCCCAGGAGGTTACCATAGTCAGTGGTCTCAAAAGTGGCTGAAAGACATGAGTGGCACACCCGCTCTCAATAAAAATAATCCATTAGGGCAATCAAGGCTGATTCAGCCCCAGTATCTTTGGCAGTGACTGTCCTGATGCCTTGGCCTATAGCTGCTGATTGGTGGGAGACATTATATCATTTATTTATTTATTTAACAAGAAGCAGAAATGAGTATATTTTTAAAAAAATCTCTTCTTAAATGGTTTGCACAAAACTTTAATTGACTCATTGCTTCTTATTTCTTGCTTATAATTTGCTCTTTCTCTGAGCAGAGCCCAGAGTGGCTAACAATGGATGCAATAAACAGCACAATATTAAAATGAATTAGTTGGCATGAAATACAATTGCTGCAGTCCAAAGCAGGCGGTGGCAAAATAAAACATTGCAACAAAGCCATCCTCGTGGTGCTCCAAAAGCCAATGAAAATAAATGAATTCACTTTAACTCGGTACCTGACATCCATAGAATGTGAGGGACAATTGGAGATCTGTACTGGGAGGGAATTCTATAAGTGGGGTACAGCCACTAAGAATTATTCTGCTGCATGTTATGAGCCTCCCCAGCTGATCTTAAAGCCCTCATTGGTTGACACTATGACTTTTTCTTCATTGAATATTGCACTGTGCAGAGTTCCAAGTTTTGCTTAATTTTTTGAATTGTCACTTCCAGCTATTCTGTTGTGTATTCGGCCTGTGGTGTCAGACTGACATTTGGCCGCGACAGAGGCTGAGAATTTGTTCAGGCACGTTTCTTAATGCAGGATGCTATCATTAGCAGAGACAAAGAAGCATTAATTGTAATAAAAAAAAACCTTGAAACTGACATGACATGGATATTTTTTTCCTCTCTTTCTATTTTAAACAATCCAGTTTGCCAATGTTTACAGTCCTTAGGAAGTTTACCATTCCTCTTACATTACTGCTGGAAGTGATTGTTCTTGGGTGAGTATTTGCCTCCCATTTTTGAAATACCACTGCCATCTATCAGATAGGGTATCTGGCCAGAATGCATGGATGAGTAGTTCCTAATTGAATTTTGACGATAATATTCGGGCTTCTCAGAACACTGTGCACTGGGTACAAAACAGACACCAGTTAATCTACGAGCACTAGAAACTTGCAGCAAAAGAACTGGCTTGTTAGTTTGACTCAGTATGTGAAGTTCAGCCCTCCACCCCATAATACCCCGCTGGTTTCTCGGCCCAACAGTAGAATGACAGCAGAAGCCACATCTTCTACAAAACTCTCAAAGGTACTGTGCACATCTGGACCTCATAACCTTGTCCTCCCAGACTTCCCTTATCTTCTCCTTCTCATTGGCTCCTGATATATCCATGCCCCAATCACATATTGTTTTCCAGATTTTTTTAGCACACGGCTTTCTTCGTTTCATTTCCTTTACTTACCTTGACCTCCTTGTATTCCATCTTCTCGAACCTTCTTCAGGTTCCTGTTCTCAGTTCATTGCCAACATGACACCCTTCCTTCATCTTTTCCTTCCAGTCAGTAGGCTGCCTATCGTGCTTTTCCTGTTCCGAGGGCCTGGGAGAAATGATCCCAACGAAAGTGACAGCTGTTCTCCACCTCACAGAATTTGGATCACAAAGATTCCTTGCTTCCAGAGCATTTGGAATATTTGTGAACATTATAACATCACACCATCTCAGCCAGGCTGTGTCACAATACAGTAAAGACTGCAATATGCCTTTGAGTCAGGCTCCTTAATGATTGGGTCATAAAGGGGTTTTCTCCTATTAATGTCCCAAATCGAATTTATTTCACTCACACATGAAAGGAAAAGGATTTCCCTTTTCTGTGGAGCATCAGGCACTGCCACAAGCATGATGTTAGAGCTGCAACGCTTTGCATTCTTGCTGAAATCAGATGAATCATGTACAAGTTTGGAATGTAGATTATTGGGATTTATTATGGGAGTTCCCAAATGCTTTCATAGTGGAAAGTGAGGATGTAATCCCAACTCAAAGTTAGCACTGAGCTTTTGCAAGAAGCCCAGTGCATTGCAAGAAGTTCATAGTAAAACCAATTAGCAATTTGCATAGAGTATTTTCAGGATTCTACATATACTCTTGTCTTACTGCAGGGGGCAGCAAACTTTTTCAGCAGGGGGCCGGTCCACTGTCCCTCAGACCTTGTGGGGGGGCCAGCCTATATTTTGAAGAGAAAAAATGAAGGAATTCCTATGCCCCACAAATAACCCAGAGATGCATTTTAAATAAAAGGACACATTCTACTCATGTAAAAACACCAGGCAGGCCCTACAAATAACCCAGAGATACATTTTAAATAAAAGGACACATTCGACTCATGTAAAAACTCGCTGATTCCCGGACCATCTGCAGGCCGGATTTAGAAGGCGATTGGGCCGGATCTGGCCCCCTGCCCTTAGTTTGCCTACCCATGTCTTACTGTAACTGTCTCTTGTCACTGAATCATTAAGTATACAGTCCTATACACAATTGTCTGGGACTATGTACCACGGGACAAAATTGTGAGTAGACCTGTCTCAGATTTGCATTGTAAGATGAAGAGAGTGAAGAGAGTTTGGATTTGATATCCCGCTTTATCACTACCCAAAGGAGTCTCAAAGCGGCTAACATTCTCCTTTCCCTTCCTCCCCCACAACAAACACTCTGTGAGGTGAGTGGGGCTGAGAGACTTCAGAGAAGTGTGACTAGCCCAAGGTCACCCAGCAGCTACTTCTGGAGGAGCGGGGAAGCGAACCCGGTTCACCAGATTACAAGTCCACTGCTCTTAACCACTACACCACACTGGCTCCCATAAGATACAGATGACTCTGTCTGGAGATGCATTTGCTTTTGTTTGTGTGAGATACTTCATTGCCCCTTTCCATGGCAGGAGTTTCCCTCTTCTTTGAGCTATCCCCTGGGAACTCCACTAAGCCATTGCAGCTTGTGCATCAGAAACAAATCCCTGGAAAGGCATCACAAATGATCCCTGGCTTTGACTGACCTATTTGTAAGACAGAATGGGAGCATAGGCCTTTCACTGAGCCAGACCATTACTCTATCTAGCTCAGCATTTTTTGCTCTGCTATCCAGGGTTTCAGGTGGTAATATTTCCCAGCTCTTCCTGAAGATCTCAGGGATTGAATCTGGGATCTACAACCTTTTTTAAGGGAAGCTTCAAAATATTTTGGAATGGGGGGAAATTGGAATCTTGTCAGCCTGCAGGTGCTCTTTGATTAAAAGAAATAAACCTAATTCTTTTGTTTCGTTCTGCTGTGTCACAAACCACTTTCTGAGATACATAATGCTGGTTCAGATAAGTGTTTAGTTTGATTAGTGTTCATCCTAATTATAAGCTGAATGGGATCAACCATACGGTTTCTCTTTACAGGAAGCGCTATTCACTGAGCATTGTAATTAGTGTGTTCGCAATCATCCTTGGAGCTTTCATAGCAGCAGGGTAAGATTTTAAAGCCCTTTCCTTCTGTGTTGGATCGTTGTTTCTTGAGCGTACCACAAGAATGAAACCATTTCGTCAGGAACTGTCAGAGAAATTAGTGCAGGACATGGCTGGTGCAAAATGCTTTTATACACCACATAATGTATGAGCCACATGAGACCATTTTGCTGATGTCCATGTGGCCTGCAGTCCCCCTTTCCAGCTGGTTCTTTCCCCACCCTGCTGTCCTCAGTGGTGGACTTTGGGCTCTCAAATTTCAGCAGCCCTAAAATTTGACACAGCTCCAACTCTCATGCTCAGTTGTGCAGCGCTGTTGTGTTGCCCTCCGCAGCACGGAGCCGCACCAGTTGTGCTGCCCTAAAACCGCCTCTGTTTCCCTACTGATTGGTGCTGGAAACAGCAGAGCAATGTGCTGATCTGCACATGCCTCAGATGCTGTCAGCACTGGTCTGTTGATTTCCTCTCCTTTGACAGCGCACTGCCTTTTCCATACCATATAAAAACTACAACTAAATCTATCTTCTGTTCCAAAAGATGCACTGTTGTTGGAGAAACACAAGTTCAAGGCTTCCTTGAGCGCTTGGAGTTATTTGCTCTGTTCTTTGGATCTGGGGCTATGAAACATGAAAATCACTTAAAAACTAGCTTCAGCTGAGTCAGTACTGCATTTCGTGTTTCTGCTAAACATAAAGAGTGCTTGCTCTCCTAAGCAAAGTCATTTCTTCACTTCACTCTCATTTACTAACCTTGTACTTCTGCTGGGAATTGCCCCAAGACACAGTAGGTGACATGGGTGGCGCTGTGGTCTAAACCACTGAGACTTGGGCTTGCCAATCAGAAGGTCGGCAGTTTGAATCCCCGCGACGGTGTGAGCTCCCATTGCTTGGTCTCTGCTCCTGCCCACCTAGCAGTTTGAAAGCACGTCAAAGTGCAAGTAGATAAATAGGTACCGCTCTGGCGGGAAGGTAAACAGTGTTTCTGTGCACTGCTCTGGTTCGCCAGAAGCGGCTTAGTCATGCTGGCCACCCGGAAGCTATCTGCGGACAAACACTGGCTCCCTCAGCCTATAGAGCGAGTTGAGTGCGCAACCCCGGAGTTGTCTGTGACTGGACCTAACGGTCAGGGGTACCTTTACCTTTACCTTTTTACAATAGGCGAATGGTTTTCCTGTATCACCACAAAAAAGGAGGGTACCACATTGAGCAAAAGATTTCTGCATTGCAGGGAGTTGTACTAGATCATGGTTTTCAAAACTTGGGGCACCAGTTGCTTTTGGACTACAACTTCCATCATCCCTAGTTAGCAGGACCAGTAGTCAGGGATGGTGGGAATTGTAGTCCAAAAAATAGCTGGAGACCCAAGTTTGGGAAACTCTGGACTAGATGATAGTTGTGGTCCCTTCTAACCCAACAATTCTATGAATCTGTGATAGTTAAATAGGTGGGGAAATGGTCTCAGACCTAAGGGAACATTCAAACCCTAGTCATGACCCACCAATAAACTACTACCAACTTGTTTGGGAGGTTTGCACCGCACAAGCTCTGTCGAAATGAACAGGGGATATTTAGCTGTAGCACTTGTTAAAAGTCCACTCATGGCTATCTCCTGCCCATCTCTTTTGAGAATTAGTCTGATTTTGGCTGTTGGTTGCATAGATCAGCTAAGTCACCATTAGAGAAGTTGCCAGGAATGAATCGGAGCGATTTCTGAGTGAAATGTTATCTGGAACAGTCTAGCTGTTTCGTTTCATTTGCTGTTGTCTTTACTGCTACGGACTTCTGAACGTGCCGTTAGCGTCATCAGGTTTTATAATATGGAACTGGTTTGGGAAGCCAGCAACGCACAACACTGCTCAAAGGATGCCTTTTAAATGCCTTCATCTCTATATTCTCTCTTCCAGATCAGATCTAGCTTTCAGCATGGAAGGCTATGCCTCTGTGTTGCTGAACGATGTCTTCACAGCAGCAAACGGTGTTTACACAAAACAAAAAATTGACCCCAAGGTAACTATGTGGGGATTTCATTTCCACGGAAAACCAAGGAATGATCATCTTTGTTCTAAGAATTTATGAATATGTTCATAGACAGCCTGAATTAGGACTTGAGTAAGATTGTGAAAGTCAACTTCAATTTTGTACATACTGTCCCTGCTAAGAGGTTGACAGTACAGGAGTTAAATATTTAGGTATTTAGTTAATGGTTTTCCAGCTTTGGCCTTCACACTGATGTCATGATTCTAAAAGGATGTGTCATCTTTCTAAGAAGCCAGAAACATCTCAGAAAAGGAAATCTAAGATTGGCTAGCTGCTAGATCAAGAAGGAAACTGATCTTTATGCAAACACAGACACAAGCAGCTTTGTAAATCTGGGCTAAAGTCTTGGGAAAGCTGGGCTGCATTGGGCCCAAGGAATTGCTGCTAGGTTGACCAGCCCATGATTCAACCATCAGCAAAATTCAGTTATCTCATTAGCTTCTCTTGCCTTTACACTCCCTGTATCCTTCATTAGGGGGACGCGGGTGGCGCTGTGGGTAAAAGCCTCAGCGCCTAGGGCTTGCCGATCGAAAGGTTGGCGTTCGAATCCCCGCGGCGGGGTGCGCTCCCGTCTTTCGGTCCCAGCGCCTGCCAACCTAGCAGTTCAAAAGCACCCCCAGGTGCAAGTAGATAAATAGGGACCGCTTACTAGCGGGAAGGTAAATGGCGTTTCCGTGTGCGGCTCTGGCTCGCCAGATGCAGCTTCGTCACGCTGGCCACGTGACCCGGAAGTGTCTCCGGACAGCGCTGGCCCCCGGCCTCTTGAGTGAGATGGGCACACAACCCCTAGAGTCTGTCAAGACTGGCCCGTACGGGCAGGGGTACCTTTACCTTATCCTTCATTAGACTAATTCAAGAGATCTTCACATAACTGTTACGAGATCTTTTTGGATTTTAAAAAAAGAGTGCACGGTATATGGCAGCCATGCAGTGGTTTTAGAATGTTATTCCTCGAATCCTTGCTGAACTCACTTTGGGAAGACTTTTAACGGCCCTGGTGTGTTGCAGTTTGGAGATGATTAGAACAGGCACATAACCACTAGATAGTAAAATTCAGGCCATGTTTCTTCATGAGAAAAAATGAGCAGAGCATAGTAGCATGTAAATGGGCTTTTACTGGCAGTTCCTTCCCCACCTGCTTGTAACATATTTCTCTTCCATCCTCCCGCCTACTTCTCAAATATTGATCTTCTGCTTCCTAGGAAATCTACTTCTGTATTTGCTATCTTATCCATTTGCTGTCACCACCTTTGCTGGGTTCAGCTTGTTTTGGGGGAGGGAGGGTAGAAAGGAAGTTCACATCATATATGATAGACAGAGCACAGGCTAGACAAAGCACGATTGTTGGCAGGAGTGAGACCTTCTCACCATATCACACTTGTGCTCAGAGACCTGCACTGGTTTAATTATTTGCTACCAGGCCAGGTTCAAAGAAGAAGAGTTTGGATTTTATATCCCGCTTTATCACTACCCAAAGGAGTCTCAAAGCGGCTAACATTCTCCTTTTCCTTCCTCCCCCACAACAAACACTCTGTGAGGTGAGTGGGGCTGAGAGACTTCAGAGAAGTGTGACTAGCCCAAGGTCACCCAGCAGCTGCATGTGGAGGAGCGGAGACGCGAACCTGGTTCCCCAGATTACGAGTCTACCGCTCTTAACCACTACACCACACTAGCTCTCAACGCTACTATTAATATACAGAGCACTTAGCAACTTGGGACCAGTTTACCTGACATAATGTTTTACTCCATATATTCTACTTGACTGCTTCTATCTGCAGAACTTTTCCTATGATAAAGGTAAAGGGACCCCTGACCATTAGGTCCAGTCGCGGACTACTCTGGGGTTGCAGCCTCATCTCGCTTTACTGGCCGAGGGAGCTGTCGTTTGTCCACAGACAGCTTCCGGGTCATGTGGCCAGCATGACTAAGCCGCTTCTGGCAAACCAGAGCAGGGGATGGAAATGCTGTTTACCTTCCCGCTGTAGCGGTACCTATTTATCTACTTGCACTTTGACGTGCTTTTGAACTTCTAGGTTGGCAGGAGCTGGGACCGAGCAACGGAGGCTCACCCCATCGTGGGGATTCGAACTGCTGACCTTCTGATTGGCAAGCCCTAGGCTCTGTGGTTTAGACCACAGCGCCACCCGTTTCCCTTTTCCTATGATAGGTGCCACATAAATATTGATATTAGGCAAGCAGTGTTTTGACGCCTGCAAAAACATTTTGTTTAGACAAACCTGCCTATATGTCTGGAATGATGATGCATTTTTTAGTTTATTGCAGGGTTTAATTTTTTTGAATGTTTTAAATCATTGTTTTAATTGTTTTTACCAATAAGTTTGTGTGTGTGTGTGTGTGTGTGTGTGTGAGAGAGAGAGAGAGAGAGAGAGAGAGAGAGAGAGAGAGAGATTCCCTTTGTAAACCGCTTTGAGGTCTTTTACAGTAAAGTGGTATATAAATAAACAAAAGATAGTAAGATATTTGAGTGAGTGTCTATTCCAATTTTGGTCAGTTTTAACCAGGCCTACACAAGCATTTCATAGGTGGGACTTCACTGAGTTGATTATTTAGTAAGAAACCTCTTGTTACAGAAGCATATATTACAGAAACGGCAAGCATATATTAAATGGGTGAATTTCTTTCTTGCTAGAGTGCCATTAGAGCTTTAAATACAAAATCCCCCCGTGGCTGTTAAGTGATCTTTAACTAGCTTGTCAAACAGGTGTGTCTGTTTTATACAGGAGCTGGGAAAATATGGAGTCATTTTTTATAATGCCTGTTTTATGGTAATTCCTACAGTTCTCATAAGCTTCTTCAGTGGAGACTTCCAACAGGTAAGCTGTGCTTGCAAACCACTTAAGTCATTGTAATACATCCATTGTCTTGGACCCTCATTTCTGTTCTCAGAATGGTAGGAGTTTCTCTTCAGCTCATGGAAAGAAGATAACTTAGGAAAGTTTTGAGTAAAAAATCCAGGGGTGGGGGAGGGTTTCCAGTGACCATGTTCAGCTGGTCAACAAAGCCCAGGGTCAGCATTATGGGACGGTACCCTAAAATTCATCAAGGCACGCATAATTTTGACAATGAAGAGGGACTATAACCACTGGAAATTAGAAGCATGATTGCAAATAACAATTGGCAACAAAAAAATGTAAATTAGCAGTCTTTCTGCCCAATCGAGAACAAGTGTGTTTTAACTAGGGGAATATTTTATGCAGATAGTTTCAGGGATTGGGTAGCAACACTTTTTTAAAGAAGAAGAAGAAGAAGAAGGGGTTAATCCTTTGAATCTTCCTGAAAATGGCCATTGAAGCCAAATGTAAATGGAAAGAATTGATTCAAATTTACAAGAGGAGGGAGTTCCCCAACTGCAGAGCGGCCAACAGCAAACAAGTCCTCATTATGCAAACTTGATGCAACAGGTTTGAGAAATTAGAGAGATCGCAAGTAGACATGGGGCACAACTTAAATTTCCTTTATTTTATCTTCTCTGCACATTCTAAATGCATGTCTGGGGTTGAAACTGACATGAAAACAGCACATACCTAACCTTTTGTGGAGGTCATAAGGAATAGGTCTTTAGATCCATCTTGAGTGCAAGTGATATTCAAAGAATGCTGGGGGTTAAATTTAGAGCAGACATCTTGGTGCAATTCTCAAGCATCAGATATATCAACCTTGTCATCTTTCTGTTTTATTTAACTGGGTTATTAGAATATCTATTTTCAATAAAACATACCTAAAACATGTCCTTCTTTATTTTTATAGGCCACCAACTTCAAGGAGTGGACAAATGTTTTATTTATCTTTCAATTTCTTCTTTCCTGTGTACTGGGGTAAGGTGTCTTTGACAAGTAATCGCTGACTGGGTTCTGCTATTGACCTTTATATAAGTAGGTTGGGATAACAGCTAATAACTACAGCAAAAACCTAGGAAGATCAGAAACCCGATTGGTTCAAATAGGGTTTTAATTCCCCATCTTTAGGGCAATGCCCCAGTTTATTTGCCAGGAAATTCAGAACCATGTGTTCTGAAGCACAAGGAAAGTTGTGAAGGCAGTGGACTCTTCGTTGCAGGTTGGGTGGTTATCTATCAGGGATCCTTTAGCTGTGATTCCTACATGGGACTAGATGATCTTGGGGTCCCTTCCAACTCAACAGTTTTATGACTCTGTGATTATATGATGCAGAGCAGTGGCCCTCATTTCATTTGTCTCTGACTGAGCAAGCGTCAGGCTTCTGGGAATTCTATCTCTTCCCCAGTGGCAACAAGAAGCAAAGAAAACAAAGAAGAGTTCTGACTAATGAGTTTATTCAATCATCACAACGAGACAAAAGAATGCAGTCTGTCTCCCATTAATGGCGTTGCTCCAACTGAGCTCCTTCCCCGTCCTTTCCTAGCAACAGCACTTTCCCTTAGGGTGGCCGACAAGGGCTAATTGTCTCTTGAGTCCTTTGCTCTTGTACTCTCAATGGGTGCCAGGTTCTGGGAGAAGAGGGGTCAGAAATACTCTCCAGTTATAACGTGTCAGCAGGCTGCTCTGACTCTGTCTCCCCTTCCTCTTCTCTCAACACCTCCCAACTCTTCTGTTCACCTGTCTCTGAGCTGTGACCTTCCTCAAACCGCCGCTCTAATTCAATACAGTCGTACCTTGGTTCTCGAACGGAATCCGTTCCGGAAGCCCGTTCAACTTCCGAAAAAGTTTTACAACCAAGGCACTGCTTCCGATTGGCTGCAGGAGCTTCTTGCACTCAATCGGAAACCACGTCGGACATTCGGCTTCCAAAAAACGTTTGCAAACTGGAACACTCACTTCCGGGTTTGCGTCGTTCGGGAGCCATAACATTCGAGTCGCAAGGCGTTCCAGAACCAAGGTATGACTGTACTGCCTTCCTATTCTCTGGAAGCTTCCGGAGAAGGGGGGGGGTGCATCTCCACCATTCCTCCTCAATCTCGTCCCCTTCAGTCCAGTCCCTGACATCAAGTCATGTGGCAGTTTTGGATAGCCCACATCAGGGTGGATTTGATTTAAATCAAATTGATTTAAATCACAATTTAAATCACTAGTCACTAACGCTTGATTTACATCATTTTTTTTACAGAAAGACTCATTCTTGCTGGTATAATCTTAATATTTACAACCAGATGAAGGTTTCATTTTTGGCATAATAAATTTTCAGAGTATGTAATTTTTACAGTTATACCAAAAATTACTGATTTGGGTATACTATTAGAAATACATAGACAGATAATTATGAAATTACTGTGAGGTTTAATAAGTTAACTGTTTATATCTGTACAACTTTTCTGCTGTACTTTATTGGAAGGAGGAAAATAATCACTTCCTTAAGAACAATTCAAACAATTTATTTAACTAAAACGAAAACATTATAGCATATGTATCCATGTTTGTTAACTGATGTAGTTAAATAGTTTTTTTAAAAAAGAAAACTTAGACTGAGTTTTTGCGCACATGAAAAGCTTAAAACAAATCCTTATTTCCTGATGAATAGCCTTTGGACCATAATGTAACTTAAATAGAAAACTATCTTTAGTAAGATTTTTCCTCCAAAAGCATTTTATTTTGAAAATCCAATACATATATATATATATAAAATCAGATTTTAATTTAAAAAATTGGATTTAAATAAAAGAAATCAGATTTTTAAAAATTATTATTTTTTAAAATCATTTATTTTTATCCACTCTGACCCACATGGAAGGATGTGAAAATTGTATAGTCAAACCTGGGTGGTGAAGTCCACACAAGCACAGGTTTTTATTTAATCATTTTATACATAAGTCTCCCAGCTCAACTTCTTTTAGATCACGCTGGAGGAGTTAAAAATATATACAGCCCTGTTTAAGAGGAGCAGTGAAATGATGGTATCATAAGTTTGTAATCCTGTGCATGCTTGCTTCTGGGAAAAGGTGCACAGGATCAAGATACTTTCCCCCCCTTTTACTTTAGGTTCCTTCTGATGTATTCTACAGTCCTCTGCAGCCATTATAATTCTGCCCTCACAACCACAGTGGTTGGCGCTATAAAGGTAAGCGAAACCAACAGGACCTGTTGATGAGTGACAGCATCAGAACTAGCTATGGAATCCATTTAGATTTCATTTTCGTCTTCCGATAGGGAAACTTAATTTGTTTGAAGGATGGTGCATTTGCTAAAGAGAAATGGATTCGGCAGGAAACGCCACAGATGATTCTTTTTGTGGGCGCGTGAATTTTATTTTGGTTAGCTCGTAAAATGGCAGAGACAAATTGTTCCTGAGCCTATATTATCATGATAGGCAAACAGGCATCTTGGACCAGTAAAACAAACACCTAAGAGGTCATGTTTCTATACAATAGAAGACAGTACAAGACGTATGAATAAATTGGAAGGGGGTGGAATTAATGCTTAGGATTTATCCAGACATGATTTCTTAAGGGGAAACCATATTAGGACTCTAATATGTCTGTGCTTATCTGTACTATGCGAAGCTGTGCTCTATTGACATTGTACTGCGGCAGTTCTTACCATTTTTGCTTTCTTCGCCTCTCTTCTATTTTTGGTATTGTTATTTTTGAAAATCAAAATTTAGAAATATGATAAAGGTTTATTTATTTTGGTGAAGAAAAGCAAACCCTGAGAGGTGAACAAAGACGTATTCATTAATTGCCCTTTTAAAAAAAACACTTTATCATGAGAACTGGGGGGTTATAAATACTGTGGACATTCCTAGGATTCTAAAGGATGTGGACAGTGCCATCTTGAAGGCCAAATACTTCTTATCTGCAGTTTGTGCAGTTCATAGCCTGATGAGATGTTACTCACTGAACAAATATCTCTTGTTTCCCCAGGAGGGCAACTCAATGTATCAAATGAAGGGAGATTGCTGTGTGTATTAAAAAACAGAACAGCATGGGGGAATCTTTTTCTTCTGCTTCCATGGATCCCACATATTATTATTTTGAAGTTTTATTGAGACATACAGTGGCACCTCAGGTTAAGTACTTAATTTGTTCCGGAGGTCTGTTCTTAACCTAAAACTGTTCTTAACCTGAAGCACCACTTTAGCTAATGGGGCCTCCTGCTGCTGCCGTGCCGCTGGAGCACAATTTCTGTTCTCATCCTGAAGCAAAGTTCTTAACCTGAAGCACTATTCCTGGGTTAGCGGCGTCTGTAACCTGAAGCATATGTAACCTGAGGTACCACTGTAGTGGCCATTACTGACAACCCAAAAGTACATGTTAGTTTCAATCAGAATATTTTCTTAAGTGCTTGTAATTCTTGGGAACAAGTATGCCTTACAGCACAGTGATACTAGGAGAATATAATAATTATAATAATAATTTATTTATACCCCGCCCATCCGGCTGGGTTTCCCCAGCCACTTTGGGCGGCTTCCAACCGAATATTAAAAACAATACAGCATCAGACATTAAAAACTTTCCTCAAACAGTTGTCTTTTAAAAGTAAAATAGTTGTTTATCTCTTTGACATCTGGTGGGAGGGTGTTCCACAGGGTGGGTGCCACTACCGAGAAGGCTCTCTACCTGGTTCCCTGTAAACTCACTTCTCGCAGCGAGGGAACCACCAGAAGGCCCTCGGCGCTGGACCTCAGTGTCCGGGCTGAATGATGGGGGTGGAGACGCTCCTTTAGGTATACAGGACTGAGGCCGTTTAGGGCTTTAAACGTCAGCACCAACCCTTTGAATTGTGCTTGGAAACATATTGGGAGCCAATGAAGATCTTTCAGGACCGGTGTTATATGGTCTTGGCGGCCACTCCCAGTCACCAGTCTAGCTGCCGCATTCTGGATTAATTGCAGTTCCGAGTCACCTTCATAGGTAGTCCCACATAGAGTGCATTTCAGCAGTCCAAGCGAGAGATAACTAGAGCATCCACCACTCTGGTGAGACAGTCTGTGAGTAGATAGGGTCTCAGCCTGTGTACCAGATGGAGCTGGTAAACAGCTGCCCTGGACACAGAACTGACCTGCGCCTCCATGGACAGCTGTGAGTCCAAAATGACTCCCAGGCTGCGCACCTGGTCCTTCGGGGCACAGTTACCCCATTCAGGACCAGGGAGTCCTCCACACCAGCCAGCCCCCTGTCCCCCAAGAACAGTACTTCTGTCTTGTCAGGATTCAACCTCAATCTGTTAGCTGCCATCCATCCTCCAACTGCCTCCAGACACTCACACAGGACCTTCACCGCCTTCGCTGGTTAATAAATTAAAGCATGCCTCTTTATTTTTTTCAGAATGTGTCCATCGCTTACATTGGAATGCTAATTGGTGGAGACTATATCTTTTCTGTGCTGAACTTCATAGGGCTCAATATCTGGTGAGTGGGGGTTTTGAATTGCATGTCCAGTTCACACGGAGGACAGGAGACATGGCTTTCTGACCGTGTGTGTGTGTGTGTGTTCTCTGCTTTCCCCCTTCAGCATGGCAGGAGGACTGAGATACTCGTTTCTAACCATACGGGGAAACAACAGTCCTAAGATCTCCACAGATGAAGAAAAAGCATTGCCAGGTGCCAAGAGCTAGCAGAAACAAAAGGAAAGAGAATCTGGGAAGATGCAGGATCCTCTGGAAGTTCAACGCAGAAGTGGCTGAGGAGTGGACGTTCTACCTCATCTCGCATTGCGGTCCAGGGCATCCTTGTGAGACAAGGCATGATCTTGGAAAACAGTCAGCCGCAGGCATGTTTGATCATTATTTATGTAGCAAGACTAATTACAATAGATGGATGGGTGGCAGGGTTTGGGAATTTGCTCCTTCCACTGGAAATCTTTGCACTGGGTCAAATCCAGGGGTTTATTCTGTTGAGGGTGTTGAATCGCCTTTTCTCCCAGACTGCCTGTAGCTGTGGGTAGACTCCTTGCTTAAATTTTTGGAAAGGATTGACCAGAAGATACAGACTGCAAAATATTGTTGTGTTAACAGCCACACATGTGTGGACTTCGGTTAAGAACTCGACGGCACACATCTGTCATGCCCACATCTTAGCTGCCTCAGTTCAGAGCTTTAGAGATCTGGGCTGCTTTGTACTGGTTGGAGGATGGACTTAGACATGGGTAGGCAAACTAAGGCCGGGGGCCAGATCCGGCCTAATCGCCTTCTAAATCCAGCCCGTGTACAGTCTGGGAATCAGTGTGTTTTTACATGAGTAGAATGTGTCCTTTTATTTAAAATGCATCTCTGGGTTATTTGTGGGGCATAGGAATTTGTTCATTATTTTTTCCAAAACATAGTCCAGCCCCCCACAAGGTCTGAGGGACAGTGGCCCGGCCCCCTGTTGAAAAAGTTTGCTGACCCCTGGACTTAGATGTCCCCTTGGTTCCCCCCAGCTCTAGGATGCTGGAGACGAGAGGGCAAGAAATATGTCATTTGCAAAGGCAACTCCAGTGCTATCCAGAAACTAGCCATTCGATTGCAGAGATTAATGTGGTCTTGTGAATGTGCCCCACCAGTTTCGTGGGAGCATAGGTCTCCAGTATGATCTGCAACCTCCAGATACATTGGGCGGCCTGGGGATTGATTGCACTGAATGATCTCGCTGGATGCCAAATATGCCATGCAGGGCATGGGCACATCCGATACCAAATACATTCTGTGCCTTAAGGATGAATAGCAGGTTGGTGTTCACTGGCATGGACCCTAACTTCTCTGAATTGAGTTCTGTTCATGGAATTGGGGTTTTCCCTCTCCCGCTTCCAGCTGAGCCTCTGGCAGCCCACGAAGGTCAAGGAACCCTCTAGAATGGCACAACACAAGCTTCGGGTCCAAGCCAGAGTGTTTTTATTAAGGGCTTTCCTTCTTACTGTGCTGGTTCTGTTTGTTTAATTCTCCCAGTGGGACAATTGTCTTCAGCCAGATCCAAACCTGACTCCATCATCTCTTGCTATGCTGCCCTGGTCGGGCTGTTCCAGGTTAATTGGGCTAATTGGGTTAATTGGGAGAAAGCCAATGGAGGTTGAAGTATTAGGCAAGCTGCAGTGCAGGGCAAAGTTCCTTAAAATTCCTTTCTCAGACACTTTTCACCTTTAGAACAGGAACATTTTAGATGGGAGACAGAGGTACAGAAAGTTCATAGCTAGTGGCATAAAATAATAACACAGGTACAGAGGTTGGCTGCTTGCCGTTTGCAGAACATGAATTGGCTGCTCAGTTCAAGTCACTTGGCTTTTGCTTAAATCTCCCTGGCAGGAGCTGGGATCCTCAGGCCAAGTGGAGTCAAATGTGGCCCCTCCAGGTCTCTGTCTGACCCTCAGGATTCTGACCAGAACACCACCAGCAAATGACACAAGCAGGGAGGAGATTCTGATATTTCTTTACCATTTGGAGAAATTTTGGGGAAATGTTCTTACTATTTCATTCAACTACCTTTCCCCACCCATAAAAGCCCTAAATTGGGAGCTTTGAATAGGTTGCAGTTTAAGGAAGCAAGAGGAACTAGAATGGTTTTCATTAATATATCTGAGACAATCAGGTTTTGGGTATCTTTTGCTAGCCAGTCTGCACAGTGCAAATGCATTGAAAGGAGATGCTGTAAGTACTTCTGATTAAGTACATGAATATTGTGGCACATATGTTCTAGAGCTGGCATGGGTAAACTCGGCCCTCCAGATGTTTTGGGACTACAGCTCCCATCATCCCTAGCTAACAGGACCAGTGGTCAGGGGTGATGGGAATTGTACTCCCTAAACATAGGCCGAGTTTGCCTATGCATGTTCTAGAGAAATGGAAATATCCAGAAATTCAGGGAGAGAAACATGGCGGATTGAATGTATTTTGTCGGCAGGTTGCCAAAGGAGATAATTATGTGGTGATTGATGATAGTCAGACATAAATCTTGAAATGGAAATATCCCTAAATATGAAAGCACACAACTATCTTGTAATAGGATACCTTCTTGTAAGTCATGAAAATAGTATCTGTTCTGTTTATAACTTGTTCATATCTGTAATTAAACCGTCAATTCCCTCTATGGCTTTTCTATAATAATAATAATAATAATAATAATAATAATAATGAAAAAGAATAATATTTACGTTATTCTATATATGAATATGAAAAGAAAAATCTAAGAAGAAATTTTCAAATTCAATTTACTGTATCAATTATATATCATTCATGTAACCAATTCCACATTTCACACATGCTACAATACATAAAATGGGATCTGCAGCTTTGTGGCAGAGTATGTAGTCTGTATGATGGATGTTTCACTCAGCTAAAAAAGAAGAAAAAATGAATGTAAGAGGGCTGGGAGACCCTGAAGAAACTGCTGCCAGTCAAAATAGTCAATACTGAACTATCATAGAATCTTTATAAACTAGGCACCCATGACAGCTGGCCATCCAACCTCTGCTTAAAAACCTTCACGGAAGGAGAGTCCACCACCTCTCAATGAAGTTTGTTCCACTGTCAAACAGCTCTTCCCTTATTTAGTTGGAATCTCCTTCCTTGTAACTTGAAGGCATTGGTTTGGGTCCTAGCCTCTGGAGCAAGAGAAAGCAAGCTTGCCCCATCTTCCATGTGAGAGCCCTTTAGATACTTGAAGATGGCTACCATATCTCCTCTCAGTCTCCTCTTTTCCAGGCTAAACATGCCCAACTCTCTCAACTGTTTCTTGCATACAAAATATCCTGTCTCATGAAAAGTGGTTGGAGTCTATGCCCTTTGGCTCCAGTCAGTTCTATGATGCTACTGTCAAATAAAGGAAAGAAATGTCCTTTGCTGATTGCATAACCTACGATGGTGCCATGAGCATCCCTTTCAGGTTTGGGGGCATGTATGGTTCCATCGTCAGGTTTGGGGGCATGTATGGTTCCATCGTCACTACCTGGTGTAGTGAACTGTGTGAGGCTTGCACACTCTGAACGAGCAGATCTGGTGCCCAAAAAATTGCTGTGCCTGAAGGACAGGCTTAAGTGTTCAATATGTTTGCTTGAGGTAAAGGTAAAGGGACCCCTGACCATTAGGTCCAGTCATGACCGACTCTGGGGTTGTGGCTCTCATCTTGCTTTATTGGCCAAGGGAGCCAGCGTACAGTTTCCAGGTCATGTGGCCAGCATGACTAAGCTACTTCTGGCGAACCAGAGCAGCACATGGAAACGCCGTTTACCTTCCCTCCAGAGTGGTACCTATTTATCTACTTGCACTTTGACATGCTTTCGAACTGCTAGGTTGGCAGGAGCAGGGACCGAGCAATGGGAGCTCAGCCCGTCGCGGGGATTTGAACCGCCGACCTTCTGATCGGCAAGCCCTAGGCTCTGTGGTTTAACCCACAGCGCCACCCGCGTGCCTTGTTTGCATTGAGGATTTCTCTCTTATTGCCCCAACACTCCTTGTGTGATTCTCCCAGTGGAGATATGAGTGATATGGGATCCTGCGTCAGCAGTGTGGGCCCTTCCCTGCTTCCCACCTGTCTGCTCCAGCCTCTTGGACCCACTGAAGAGCCTCTCTGGTTAGGGGACCATATGGAATGTCATAGAATTTGGTGCCGACTTCAGTGGGAGTTGGGAAATAGACAACATCAGGAAGCCCCTTTATTCATTTCCTCTTAGGCAATGGCATCTTTTGACCCAAGCCAGTATACTTGAGTACGAGAGTTCATTTTTATTAGTCATTTAATTCTCTCCATGAAACCGTTTTCTTCAGCGATATCCAAACCTATTTCCATAATCATTTGCTGTACAGTCACAGATAGGTTGTTTTCCCTTTTGCTGCTGGATCACTTGAGAAAAAACAATGAACAGCCAAAGAGCATAAACATGTAGGCAGAATATTCACAACCTTGCAATGGAAGGGGCAGAGCTGGCCTGTAGCTTCTCCAGGCTTAAATGGCTGTTGGTCTGGTCATTTCTGGGTTTGATTCACCCATGCTAGGTGAGGAGCATCTGGGCATGTAGGAGACCATCAATCTTCCACCACAGATCAGAGCTGGTTTCTGGAACTCTGTGCAGAGCAGGAGATATCAGGAATAGGAAACAAACACCCAGACCACGTTTCTTCCGTGGTTCAGAAAAATCCACTTGGGCAACGCTACAGCTTCACTTTGACCCAGCTCGTGCTTTAGATTTTTCTATCCAGGCCAGGTTCTAAAACAGGCATAGGCAAACTCGGTCCTCCAGATGTTTTGGGACTACAACTCCCATCATCCCTAGCTAACAGGACCAGTGGTCAGGGATGATGGGAATTGTAGTATCAAAACATCTGGAGGGCCGAGTTTGCCGATGCCTGTTCTAAAACATCAGTGTGGAGACCTGTTTGTTTCCTCCCAGTCTGATTGTGTGATCCTTAAAGTTAGGGCTGAGGCGCCTGTGGCCTTCTGTATATATTACTTTCCAATTCCCGTCAGCTTTAGGGAACATGTCCAATGGCCAGGGGTGACGACAGGTCTAGCCCAACAACTTTTGAAGACCACAGCTGCTTCCTCCCTGCCCAATGAGTCAAAACTTGTTAAAAGCTGAGTACACTTCCACAACTCTGCATGTTCAACAGAGATGCCATATTCAGAATGATCTGATGAAAAGAGCCCCAGTATTAACTGGGGAGCAATCTTACATTAGCCAGGACAAGTATAGTGTGAAAGATCCTGGACACTATTGTTATTTTGGGTTCTTTCCCTTTAAATTTTTGCAAAATAATTACAAATAAATCCATAGATAGAATGATTATATACACATATAAATTTATGGAAGCAACTAAATACTTCATCGTAGTTTGTAGAGAATATGATGCACTGGTACAGAAAACCTCAAGAAAAGGGTTGTTATATTGATATTTCTGTTACTTAAAATTTATAGACCACTCTTATAAGAACGAAGTTGCCTATATTTTACCACATTGTACTACGACCTTTTATATGTCTCAAAATAAAAAAATGGGGATTCTTTCATCTTGTACTTAATTAAAAATAAATAAAATCCTTTTTGCAATGAATTCATTGTCTTTTTGTCTTCCCTTCCCAACTACCTTGTCTGCCCTTTCCTAGAAGTTAGCAAATTTCATCATGTAAGCAGCTTCCCAAACTTTACCTCCCGAGGCATCTAGAGATGGGAGTTTTCTGTCTCTGACAGATGACTGTTTTGGCCGCTATTAATAGCTGAAAGTCATTTCCCAATCCTCTTCTGCTTTAATATCCTTACTCTGT